CAGACTGACAGACACAGAAACAGACAACACATACAAGCCCAAACAACACTGAATTCCTCTAAGGTGAAGCCAAAAAAAAGTACCTTCAAGCTATGAAGTGTATGCGTTGTTTTTTTTACTCTGCTAAAAGGCCTTGTTCCTGTTTGATAGCAAATCAGCACCAAGGAGAGGGAACAGGGTAACAGAATCTGATCCTGAAATGTGTCTGAACACATGTAAGATATAGTTGATGAAATGATTGCTTTTAAAAATCAACACATTTCTGTGCAGTCTACTCAGTAATGATGGCTTCTTAGAACATAACTAATGTTTACCATGATAGCCAATCAGCACCAAGGAGATGGAAAAGGGTTGCAGAATCTGATCTTTGTGTTTGAAATCATGTGAAGCAAGTAACAAGTTCATGAAACAATTGCTTTGAAAAAATCAACCCATTTCTGTAATATCAATCTATTGATGGCTTCTTGACATCACTAATGCTTAGTACCGTGATAGCCTTTCAGCACCAAGGAGATGGAACAACTAGCATAATCTGATCCTTGTGTCTGAAGACATGCAAGATTATATTTGAAGAAAAAATTTCTCTAAAAAATGAATTTCTGTAATGTTAATGTTAGTCTATAAACACCACTAATGCTTACAGTGATAGCCTTTCAGCACCAAGGAGAGCACAGAGCAAGGAGAGCACAGAGTAGTGATGTTTAAAGATATGTAGCTGGAGAAACAATTGTTTTCAACCTATTTCAGCAATATAAATCTATTGATGGTTTCTCGACATTAGATTTTACCATGTTGTTTTCTTACTTGCCATGCAGAACTCTAGAAGGAGACGTGTCTTTCCAAGGCCTTCACCGAGACGCAATCCTGGAGAACATCTTCCGTGTGGCTGACGTCAGCAGTTTCACCATGGGTGTGAAGTTTGGACTGACCAACACTACAGAACAGTGTTCGGTCAACAGTACTAGTTACACAGGGCCTACAGAGGCAGAGACTTGTGGTTTGTATGATGGTGTACAAAGCCATGAAGAGTTCAGGACAGTTGGTGAATTTGAAACATCTGAGTCTGTAACACTTCATGTTGAAAATGGTGCGAGAGAAAGATCGGAGTCACCCAGTTCAGGAAAACAGAAAGTCTCAGACAGAATGGCAGAGTGTGAGAGAATACCTGTAGCTAGTCGAGCAGAATTCTTCCACAACTACGTGAAGAGGTCGCGTCCCATCATAATCACAGGAGCCATGGAGCAATGGAACGTTTTTGAAAAGTGGTCCAACGATTTTCTGAGAGAGAGATTCGGTAAGGAGGAGGTTCACATCAAGCTGACGCCCGGAGGGGAGTATGAGGGGGTGGAGGAGGCCTCCCTGTGGGAGGACTTTGGTACGTTCCAGATCCCGCGCCACGTGAAAGACCAGCTGATGTTCCCCGACCTGGTGGTGGTGCGCCCCGCGACCTTGAACCTGAAGTTTGGGAAGTTTTTGGACATGATTGAGGAGACGGCGAGGTCGGAGGTTAAGAACATCTCAGCGTACCTGGAGTACTCCTCCATTCCTCAGTACATGCCGTCTTTAGAGGCTGACATTCCAGGTGAGCATAAGAATGATGTAAGAGTTATGAGGTCACACAAACTTTACGTTTCGTGGAGAGCAGTATCATTCAGTCAGTTCATCCATTACTAATATTAGTCATAGGTGCGCTACTTATAATCTTGGTGGCACCTCTCTCCACTTCAAGATTGGCTAGTACAAGATGGGATTGCCAGGTCTCATCATGATTTGTTACCTGGTGAATAACCAAATCCAGACTGTATAGGATTGTTTCAGAAATCAGATGCTCATTGAAAACAACTTCTTTCCCGCTCCAGGTTTCCCGTTTGTGAACTCCCTGCTGACCAGACGACACCTGAACATGTGGCTCAGCGATGGAAACACCCTCGGCAAGCTGCACTTCGACCCTTTCGACAACCTTCTCTGCCAGGTAGGGCATTTCAACATGCACAGTACAGGATGACATTTCAACGTAAATTCTTATTACAGACTAGTCAGTACAGATTATGCTCCTACAGCATCCCAACTGTCTCCTATCCTTGCTCCTATGCTGTGTGCTGGCTTTCTGTTTATGTACAAGTGCATGCAGTCCACCAGGTCCTGTAGTATGAACAAGTCTGTTTGATTTTGACTTATGGTTCCACATTCTTTGATTTTTTTTCTTCTCTTCCTGCACTTGACTCTCCTACTTTATGGCATTCCACCATTGGAGGTGAAGTGTTGCTGTGTTTAATTAGTCTGATTAGCTGTTGGATATGTGAATCAAAGTTCAAGGACCAATCAAAAGAAGAAATGATGTCAAATTCCTTGTCTGGTACGAGGCATCTGATTTTCAGAAACCTGTTCTAAAACATCTTACCTATGTGGTAAAAGCTAAGGAAACAGTGATATTTGATTGGTCCAATCTTGACCAATGAGAATTGCCTACAGAAATGGTGACACTTCATCTTTAATGTTTATTTGTTTGTTGGTGGCCTTTGTTTTTCCCCTCTCTGCACCAAGGTACCCGTTCGACAGTACTTTGACTTTCCTGATGGTGTGCAACTCACCGCAGAAGTGTGTAGAGGTCTGTTCTGAGACTTAAAACAGCATGCCCTTATGAATAATTTCTGAATCTTCTGCTTAAGTGAGTTTATTTTGATCGTAGGATCTAATGTCATAATGCTCCAGGGTTAGATTACCATACTGAAAAACATAATATTCATGAGTCCTCTTCAAGACTGTTGCAGTGCTAACCCTAGCAACATGTACTATTTTATGATCACGCCAAACACTGTTACCATCGATGTATATTACATGTATATCATGATCATGATATTACACTGTTATATTCCCCCAGATAAGTGGTAAGAAGGAGGTGGTCCTGTTTGAGCCCCATGACAACAGGAAGCTGTATGATGTTACTTAGGCCTCACTTAAAACCCTTATGTGGATAACCTTGGCAACATGTACAACAATTGTATGTTCTCACCCAACACTATAATATATTTCCCCCAGATCAGTGGTAAGAAGGCGGTGATCCTGTTTGAGCCCCATGACAACTCTAAGCTGTACGAGGCCCACATCCCGGAGGCCATCCTGGGGTATAACAACAGGACAGGAACCTTCCGCAGGAAAACCCTGCTGGACAGCACCTCCATGGTCATGTCTCCTGTGGACATACTCAAGCCTAACTTCAAGGTGAGAAATTCCTCTTGACAGATGTTTCAGATACACTTTTACTATCAGTGACTGAGAAAAGTCATTATGAAAGATTGAGTCTTCAGAGAATTTATCAAGAGGCTTGATTTATTTTGTAATACATGGGGTCCAATATGAATATCTGACCTTCATTGAAGTTTTGATATACAAAGATTACAACTAGTAGGAAATATTTTGTCAAGGTCTCTGACAAAAAAAGAGGATCGATGAAGCTTGCTTTCAGTAAAAAGGAAGTTTAGATTCCAAAATTAGGTATACATGTACAAAATTATTTTTTTATGCCAAGAAATAGTGAAAAAATTCACTTCGCTATGAACATTCAGCAAGATGGAAACTTTAAGGTGCCTTTCCATATTTTGGCAGTATAGAATTTCCAGTGTTCAAAAAGGGTTGCAGAGAGACTCTATTATAGAACTTAGTAGTGTTTGTACCTTACAGAGGTTCCCCCAGTTTGCTGCTGCCCTGCCTGTGAACTGTACTATAGAGGAGGGAGAAGTCCTGTACATGCCTGCTCACTGGTGGCACAGATACAGCACAGTCTGTATAACACTGTTGTTTGTTCCTTCCCCAGAGGTTCCCCCAGTTTGCTGCTGCCCTGCCTGTGAACTGTACTATAGAGGAGGGAGAGGTGTTGTACATGCCTGCTCACTGGTGGCACAGATACAGCACAGCCTGTATAACACTGTTGTGTCTGCACCACAGTCTGTATAACACTGTTTGTACCTTCCCCAGAGGTTCCCCCAGTTTGCTGCTGCCCTGCCTGTGAACTGTACTATAGAGGAGGGAGAGGTGTTGTACATGCCTGCTCACTGGTGGTACAGATACAGCACAGTCTGCACAACACTGTTGTGTTTGTATTACAGGCTGTATAACACTGTTGTGTCCCCAGAGGTTCCCCCAGTTTGCTGCTGCCCTGCCTGTGAACTGTACTATAGAGGAGGGAGAAGTCCTGTACATGCCTGCTCACTGGTGGCACAGATACAGCACAGTCTGTATAACACTGTTGTCTGTACCTTCCACAGAGGTTCCCCCAGTTTGCTGCTGCCCTGCCTGTAAACTGTACTATAGAGGAAGGAGATGTCCTGTACATGCCAGCACACTGGTGGCACGAGGTCCAGTCTTACCCCAGCTCCTCTCAGCACAGAAATCTTGCTATCAACTTCTGGTGAGTGGAGAAATATTTGAGTGGAGACAACTTCTTACCATGTGAAATATGTTATCAGTCTGTTTTCCCTGTGTTTGCTGCTGTTTCTTTTGCTTGAGACCAAACAGCCATCCTAAAATGAAAATGTATGTCCCTGTATGTACGCCGGAGATAGCCTGAGTGTCAGCCTTGTTAGCTAATTAGCTTTCGTTCGCTCCAGATCTTGGGGAGTGGATGAAAGCTAACAAGGCGGGCACTCAGGCTACGTTGGTGAAGGCTAGACATCCAGGTGGTTTTGGGGGTATGTCCGTGTTGAACAGGATGTTCCGCGGCTACATTTTTGTTTCATGTTTCTGTGTTTTTTCAGGTATGAGCCATTCCTGACTAAAGAGTTCCCGTGTCAGACCTGTAGCCTAGATGTGAACCCACACTACAGGCACCTGCTGGGCTGACCTTCAACCTTTAACCTACAACCCCACACTACAGGCACCTGCTGGGCTGACCTTCAACCTTTAACCTACAACCCCACACTACAGGCAGCTGCTGGGATGACCTTCAACTTCTAATATTCCACATTTTGATGTCACCTTGAAAAATATGAGATTATGTTTTGGTATTACTGGTAGTCAAGAATATTAGATTTTATCTGTAAATTGCTATATTGTTGTATAATTGGCATATAATTGTCATATATTTAGTGAGCTGATAAATATATAGGCCAGACAGAGATGTAGATATTTGTTGCAAAATTTAATGGCTGCTTTACAGAGAGTATATTTAAGGTAAATTATATTTCAGTTTTTGGATATGGTCCAAGTTTCAATGTAATATAAATTATAATTGATTTATTTATGTTGAGTAGATCCATATGGAAAATCCAGATTTTCTATACTAAGTACAGCATGTGCAGTAACATGGTTCTTGTTGCAAGAAAGACGGTGATGGTTTTCCAGTTCATGCAGTACTGGTTCATGCAATCTTGTGAGATTACAGACAGTAAAGACTGGTTAATTCCACGGTATTCAGTTGTCTTTTTCTTACGTATTGCAGTACATGTACATATCCAGGATGAATGCTCCTTAAATGGATCAATAAGTGATCTTTAGGTAATGAAAACAAACAACCTTAATAAAGTTACATGCATCTTGGCTCATTTACATGTTTAAAAAAAGATGTATTATTAAATGTTACGATAAAAAAATTAAATAACAAAGTTACTGATCAGAATCAGATAAAACTTTACAAAATGGCAAATAAATAATAGATATTGTCTGAGCAAAGAATCTTAGTTATTTTACAAGTATTTGTCTATTTACAAGTTAGTATTAGTGTTAGACTATGTCTAGAAGTGAGTATCATCCCCCACATCTAAGAACACGTCGTAAGCCTCCCTGTTGCAGTTTCCTTCAGGTGTGAAGACGTACTTATGGAAGGTGCCGTCCACACAGATGGCTGGAAGAAAACAGTAGAAATGTTTATGAACATTTGAGCAACCTAGATATACCGGTAGCCAGGGTGCCATCCTATTTGTATGCTGGGGCTCTCATTGTCGCTCCAAATAGAACGGCACCCTGGCTAGCCTAGATAGGGCTCTTGAAGAAAACAGTGTGTGACAAGGCCACATCAACTTATTGCCTAAGGTTCTTGCATGAAGCTGGGCAGGGACAACAAGATGACTACAGCCAATGCCATGCTTGTGTTCTGTATTTAATGCTCCCACTGCATTCAAACTAGCAAAGAGATCTTTCTACATTCAATCACAATATTGATAGGCCACGGCCCATTGACATTAACAAAGAAAACACAGGAGTATCTTAATAACTTGCAGTGTATGAAGTTGTCCTGTTCGTAAGCTAATAAACAAACAAATGATGCATCAGAAGATAAAGTCAAAGCTGTAGTGTTTTGTACTGACCTATAACTGAAGAGTTGGGTCCAAACGCACAGATACAGGCACACTCGGGCGGCACAGTGAAGTTAGCCAGGCCCCACTGAGACTCCACATACTGACCCAGGAAACCCACCTTACGCAGGCTACAGGGGAAACAGGCAAGACTTAAATTAACCTCTGGATTGATCAGGATGCAACTATGCACCAAATTTGCATAAAGATGTTTTGAGAGGTGTGGTCATCTGGAATAGCGGCAGCGTGCTCGACTCGTAACCAAGAGGTCCTAGGTTTGAGTCCTCACATGCCACTGACCTTGTGCCCTTGGGAAATGCACTTCACATGAGTTTCCTCACTTAACTCAAGTGAAAATGAGTACTAGTATTGTCTGTCCAGTATTTGTTTCTATGTGCGGGACACAACACCAGCAACAGCTGCCTGTGTCCCACGTGTATTGCACTGTTGCAATTTCAATCAAATCAAATCATTGAATTACTGATGATAATGAGAAATTGTGACTCTGAAACAAAAATTGAACTTGAATAGCATATGGGAACAAACATTTGTAACATGATGAGACAACATGACATACGTTGATCTCTTGTTGAGTGATGTGTCCTTGATGGCAAAGATGTGCACAGTCCCCTTGTCACTGGACGCACACAGGTAGGAGCTGTCATGACTGAAGGTGATACTGGAGGGAGGGAAAAAGGGGATGTCTTCAATAAGAAATATTCAAGGCTCAAAACAAACACATTTTTTTAGAAAAACTACTGTAATATTATCTTATCAGTACTACCTGAAATAAGAAACATCAATTTTCTCTAAAGCAAATAACAAAACATGATCATATATAATAATGCTACCAAAATGTTACTATTGATATCTTACTGTTGGGTAAGATTTCTTTTCTGTGTGCAGTGGAGTATAAAATGCCCAACATTTTGCAAGATGTATGAATTGGGAGGTGTTAATAGAAATGCAGTTTTTTTGCAGGCGAATCTTGTAGGTGAATAAAGCTAGGGAACATTTTGGTACTATGTACCTGAAATATGAAACATCAATTTCCTTCAAAGCATATAACAAAAAATGGGAAATTTCAGACTTTAGAGGAGTATTATAGGGACCCTCATGCAGTCCTCATCTCATTGACTTCCCACCTTGCAGGCTCCATGTTGACCTACTGGCTCCCGACCAGACATTTCTTGCATCTGACCTTTTGAACTGTCACTATCTGTCAATGTCCCACCCCCCAAGGCAGTATCCATTGGCCTGGAGGAGCATCCACTTAGCCCTCGGAGCCAATTGGGTGGCCAATGGATAGTAGCTCACCAGTACAGTGTGGCAGGGTCTGATCCTCTCCTCAGCTCATGCAGCATCTTCTTGGTCTGTGCATCCCAGATACGAATTAACGTGCCCTGAATTAAAAAAAAAATAAAAAAACTATTGCGGGATGGCATACACATGTAGGGAACTCATGTGAATGACATACATTAGCCAATGTCAATGTACTTTGATGTAACAAACCAGTTTGTGTATGGTAAAGCTACATTCCATCAAAATTCATTTGTATCTACCAGTCCAATATCAACATGGTCTAAATATTTGTAATCAACCCTCTGAATTCCAAGCAACCTGTATCTCATGGCCTGACCCGTTTAGTCAATGACAACATTCCATACTGTCAACCTAACAACACAGCAATGACAAGTCCACATGACCCCATCTGACCTTTCTGGATGCTGAGGCCAGCTTGGTGCCCTGCTGATTGACAGCGATGCAGGCGATCTCAGACTGGTGAGCAGTCAGGGTCACAGGGGAGCTGGAGATGTTTTCATCTGTCGTAGCAATGTCCTGGGGAGGAAGGAAGGAAGAAATGAAGAACAGAAGAAGAGATTTGTGACTGGTGAGCAGTCAGGGTGACGGGGGAGCTGGAGATGTTCTCATCTGTTGTAGCAATGTCCTGGGGAGGAAGGAAGGAAGAAATGAAGGACAGAAGAAGAGATTTGTGTAGGGGAATGGAGGAAGAAATGAAGTACAGAAGAAGAGATTTGTGAGTGGTGACCCATCAGGGTGAGCTGACTTTTGAGCTGGAGATGTTCCCATCTGTGGTGGCAATGTCCTGTAGGGAAGGAAGGAAGAAAACAGAAGGAGAGTTTTCAGACTGGTGGGCTGTGAGAGTGATGAGGAACCAGAAATATAATTGTTATCTGTCCTGGCAATAAAGGAAGAAATGAAGAACAAACAAAAGCGAACACAAAGGGAAAAACTAGGCCAAAAGGCTAACGTTAGAATGACAATAACTGACCTACAAAAAAGAGTAATGTATGAATAAATGTTGAATACTTTATTTTGATAGGACTATATTTTCCCATGTTACTACTAGTTTGTATGATATCTTGACTACTATCTTCAGTAAATGTGCAAGCTAATGGGATGAAAAATTTTTCACTGACCACAATCTGCAGACTGCCACACTTGTGTGCAGGGAACACCATGATCTGGTGGTCTGTACTGGGGGACACTTCCACGAGACCTGGAGGGGTGTGTAAAAAATGATTAATTTCACAGAGAAATACAAAAGGTGCCAGCTGAGGTATTATGATAATACAGCAGGCGATAAGTCCAAACAGTGAGGGTTAAGGCCAGCTGAGGGGTCTCAGATAAAATGATAAAAGTCCAGGCAATAAATCGGACAGTGAGGGAGTAAAATAAAGAGTAGAACTGTTACAGTCCTGCTGACCTCTGGGATTGTCCCTGGTGTCAAACTCGAACAGTTTACTGGTGTTGTCAGGGTAGCGGAACACAAAGATCCTGCTGCGCACTGCTACTATAATCCTGGAGAGGAAAATGAAATGAAATTAAACAACACAGAAGGGATTATTGCAGGTGGTTAGTTGCTTCCCTTCAAAACTGAATTCAAAGTGAATGCTAAGCTCCCATAAGCCAAAGGATTGAAGAATTACCCAGGCAGTCCCCTGAGCAGTATGTCCCTTGCTGAACCTTTGCTCAGTAATGTATAAGATAAGAAGATAAGAATGTATTGTGATACTTAGAGCAAGAAGGTTAGAATTAGAGCAAGTTTATCCATTCGCATTTCAATATCACTGAGGATCCACGAAGAAGGAATCACAACTGGTTATTACAATAGAAGCATCTGTCTTTGTATCAACCTTTTAGCCAGTTGAAGTTATACATTCTGTAATGAGATTACGGAAATGACTGACTTGTTCCTCCTGAGTCTGACTGCTGTGACAGGCTGGGTGAACGTCAGCTCTATCACAAACTTCTTCTGCTTGTCATCCCAGATCAGCACTGGGGATGCGGAAAAATTAAGCACATTATTCACAAAATTAGCCTTCTCATCATTCTAATGCTCAATGCTTAGGTTGCATAAAACATTTTACATCTGAAATTCAATCTCCATCGATAAAGAAAGAAACCAAGAAAAAAGGAAGGAAGGAAGGAAGGAAGGAATGAAGGAGGGAAGGAAGGATGGAAGGAAGAGGTGAGAGACAGAGAGAAAGAGAGGGGGCAAGAGAAAGAGAGAGACCGAGACCCACCTGTATTTTCTGCAAACTTAGGTTTGTTCCCTCCCCCGACCACAGCCACTACATTACATCTGTGCAGCATCTCTACCTGGGACACACTCCCTACCTCGTTATGGGCTGGGAAACACAAACACAGAATAACCAGGTTGACAAATGACAATACAATTTATAAAGCTGCTTACTCTCCCAGAGGGTTTCTGAAAAATAGCAGAAAATAACATAGAAAACAATCATCTGACAGAAGAGTCAGTTGACAATAGAATGACATTTTACAACATATAGATATACTAATACAATGGACAAGCATTGCAGTGTTAATAGACAACAACCAACTATCTCTAAGAGATAACTACCAACAATAGTCAACATTTCTTCAGCTTCACTTGAGGATGCAAAGCTTAAGTAACTACTAAGCTAATTTTGGACAGAACAGACAATAACATGTGAAGGTAGTGAATGTGTACTCACCCAGGCTGAGTTTCTCCACCAATGGTTCCACATTATAGAGTCTGAACCCGTCATCCATCGCACACGTGAAACAACCTGAAGGGACAACAAAGCGGTTAGATAGTGTTGTATATTATCAAGTATTGTGCGTAGTCCTAGTCTCTACCAGACTAACTACGCTGGGTATATATAGGAGAATATTTGCCAGGAGAGTTTGGCCGCCTTGTAGGTTTGACAGGCCGCTCAACCTCCCTGCGGCCGGACTCCCTAGGCCAATTTTACTCTCTTTTTTGCCAAATTCTACGATCTGCATTCCAGTAGAAAGGCCTGGTGGAGGCTAGGGTAGTCATTAGCCTAGGGGTGTATTTAGCAATTGTGATGAGGAAAGAGACTTGGCTGCTAGTTAGGTTTTGATACCAGGCCAGTGGTTAATAGTGACAATGCCTCTGGACCCACAGGTTATGAGTTCTAATCCCAACGTACATGCTACTGGAAAGGGTTGCAGTCCTTAATATGATTTAGGATGGGGCATTAAGACAGTTAAATTAAGTCATGGCATGTTGTTCACTGTACTTGTGGATAGCCCAAGTACAATGAACCTGTAAAATTTCCTGCCATGACCAGTGAAAGTTCTAGAGTAGCTCAATTGTTACTTTCACTTTCATTTCAATATAAACATTTCGTTGTTAGAAATCAATCAGATTTAAGCCAACATATTTTACCTCACTGTCTGTGATCAATTTTCTTGTGACTATCACCTCATGATCCTGTCCACCCTACCCCATATCTTACCCAACACTGAGGTCGATCCTGTATAAAAGGGCGCGAAAAGATCATAACTTTACATAAAATCCTGACAATGTCTCACCATGGTCTTGGTTGAATCTCAGGCTGTTTATGACACGATCAGACGACATTGTCAGCTGTCCTGTCGCCCTTCGCGTTCCCTGGTGTGTGCTCTACTTCAGAGAACAGAAATCAACCACTTGGGCTTCAAAACGACGGAGGAAATGGACGAAAATCTAGAAGAAGTTACAACGTCGTGTGAATGTTTTGGAAAACGAAAAATATCATCCAGAGGTCAAAGGTGAAATTTCCAACTGACTTGTGGGTAATATTTCCCGCCATGCCCCGCGCGACGCGTGCGCAGAGGCGCGGTGATGACGTCATGATGACAGCTCGGAGCGTTACAGAATGACTCCGACTCAATGTTTTGGTTCCATTCGGGGCTGATTCAAGCTGATTTTCCCACTTTTCACCCATCGGAGGACAGATCGGACTAGGATGGAGGTAGATCAGGACCTGGAGGCGGATTTCATGCAGAAGTTCAGCGCCATGGGCACCACGGATAGAGAGGTTTTGGTGGCCGAGCTACAGAAACTGGTCAACTACCAACTCAACCCGTCCGCCTGTGCATTTTTCCTCGATATGAACAACTGGTACGTGTAATAATCACCAGAAATCCGCACAGACCAGAAATATGCGGCGACGGACTCAGAGGAAACAGTTGTCGTCTTGTTTTTCTAACGGTGGATCAACCCACGGGGAGCAATTAACATATTTATACTCCATCTATATGCACGGCGAAAAAATGTAGTTTGTTAGGAGGGCAAATTGGGAAGTGGGAGGGGGGCTTTAAACTGGGACAAAAACAAATTTATAAAGAGGGGGGATAAAAACATAAGAAATATATAGGTCACACGTTCCAAAAGGACAGGAAAAAAGATACCAGATGGTATGTTTTTACTATCTTTTTGGAATTGTGTCGTGTAAGATAACTGGTCACCAATGGTAACAAGATATCTAAACAGTCCAGCTCACCAAAACTGAAACTAAAACTGCAAAAAAAGGTGTGGCTGCATATTTCAGCCCTCTTGTTTTAGGCAAACCCCACCCCTTTCAAATGAATGCAAATTAGCCTAATTATTGACATGGTAATTAATTGTTGTTTTATTTCTTAACATTTCAAAATGGTAATGTTGAGGAATGAACCAGCTGTAAGCTGCTATATAATTGCAGCAGATCCACGATGTTGTGTTTTCTTCAACCTTAAAAGTACTTGACAATAAGTTGACATACCTTGACATAACTATGTATATGTTTGAAAAGCAGGAAACCTTGAGTCAAATACTTGTAAGTTAATACTTGTAAGCTGCCTTCAACTGGCTGAAGATTCTTCAGCCTTTTTGTGACTAATACGATATGGGGTTCGCCAGGCCTCCATCCAGGAAAGTCCTGTAAAGTACCTTTCCCGTCAGGGCACAAGATTTGTGACATGACAGGATTCGAACCTGGGACCTCTTGGTTCCAAGCCAAATGCTCTGCAGTTACGCCACATGACCCCACAAGTCATTGTACTCTAGTACCCATGATTCAGGTAACATGTTGTATCTTAAGTGTAACAAACTTCATTTTAATTCCCCCCAGGAACCTTCAAGCAGCAGTTGGAGCGTTCTACGACCTTGAGACGCCGCGCCAGCCGCTGCCCAACATGTCGTTTGTCGCTGACATCACCATCGGGGAGGGGGAATCAGTCCCGCCGGACACACCGTTTGTCAAGACATGGAGAATACAGAACTCAGGTACAGGGTTACCTCATCTGCTTTAGACTACTTTACCTTATGATAAAGTTTTGTTCCCAATTTGAATTTCACTAGGTTTACCTTTCAGCTCATGATGCTCATGCATATAGTCAACTACAACGTCTACATGATTTGTATTTCTCATTTTTACAAAAAAAATGATTGTACATGTACATCACAGTGATGTTACTTGAAAACAGCGCATTCAGAAAATAAATCTTGAACTGTTCGTCAGGAAAAATTGTGGTGCAACGTTGACCAAACATCCAACGAAAACTGTGAGAAATGGGAGTTTTGCGCAGAAGCAGTACATTCTGCCGGATGGATTGCCCTGATATGAAGGTCTAGTTCACTACGCACTGACTCAGTGTACTACGCATCAGGTTAGGTTGCCATGACCTCAGTTGACCTCAAAGTTCAGGTAATAACCATGTTCCGCCCATCTCTCATTCTCAATATATGTTCCCCCCAATCCCCATAACCATGTTCCCATCATTAACAGACAAATAACAGTCCGGTCTTATGCAGCTTGTACATGTACACATACATGTACAAAACTGGTGTGTTACGCCTAAAGGCGGTTTACCGGTTATGCGAAACAAACAAATCTATCCTGCCCTCCAGGTGAGGAGCCCTGGCCGGCCGGCGCTTGTCTCAGGTTCCTGGCAGGTGAGCGTCTCGGCCCCAACGACAGAGTCCTGGTGGACTCCTTAGACCCCAAGTGCATCACAGATGTGAGTGTGAACATGGTGAGCCCCTCCCACGCTGGGGTGTACCAGGGGCAGTGGAGAATGTGCACACCAGCCAACCTGTACTTCGGAGGTGGGTCAGGTCTTTGTAATGTTAAACAAGTCTAAGATGTTGTGATATAGTGCAAAAGAGCTAATAATATTGATAGCTAGAAACATCATCCATAGCCTTTTAGTTTTACTTTAGGGGCTGTAGAGAAGATGCACACCAAGGAACCTGTACTTGGAGGTGGGTCAGGTCTTTGTAATGAATTTTATCGCCAAATATGGTGCAAAAGTCAGAAACAATGATAGCAGGGAAAATGAAAAATTAATATTCATTTAATTTAACAGTAATAACAACAATAACTCACTATCCTGCAGCTGTTTTAGAGTAAAGTGGGGTCCCTAAAACAGCAGTCGGCCAGACTTCTGACCACACCTCCATGGCCAGGTGGCCCTGTCCAGTGGGTTTATACCGGCAAGGCTGCACTCTCTGATGTCCATAAGATTTAAAGAAACATGTGGTAGTCAAAAGATAAAGTCAGGCCTAGTCCCATAGCCTTCTTGTCTAGGGCACTGTATTGGAAGGCAGAGCTCATCCCTCTCCTCCCACTGACTTTGACCTCCCTGAATTGAACACATGACCTGTCAATCTCACGTCTGCTAGCTCTTGGCTATTCAACACCACAATCATTCAAAAGCTAATTGCAATAGAATGGTTGTTGTTCTTGAAAGTATGAAGCATGTTAACATTGTTTGTGTTCATTGCCTTCATGTTGTTCTCTCATTTCTATACGTTAAAGTGTAACTTCTATAAGTATAAAGCTCGGAAACTCAAATTTTACAGTGATTTTAATGCTAAATTTGTGTTAAGTTGTAAAGACTGTAATCAGTGGCATTTACATGATTGTGCCATGTTGACATACAATTCATTATCCGGATGATTGAGCACATAAAGCATGTTCTGACATGCCCAACCAAGCATAGTAATGCCTTCTGCTGTGGTTAACTTTATGCAAGGTTGTAATTTTGACTGGATTAGTTACTATTCTAAGCCCAGCTATTCTTGTGGAATGTATATGAATTTGTATATTAACAACTACAAGTTGCAGTTGATCTCATTTTGTAGCTCATTTTATTTCAAACAGGTGTAGACTTGAGTTTCATGTTTTGATTAGAAATTATGTCGATCAGAATTGTAATCAAGAAAATTGAACTGGTGATTTGAAAGTGCATGTGATTATGTCTGACTATTGTGAAACGTGCTATATGTCTGACTATAGCAAAACGTGCTTGTGGTTCCAGTACATGCAGATCATACACTTTATTCACATAGATAGACTGCCATATAAGATGCCCAGAGGCTCTTAGTTAATTTGAACATGCATCACCAAACATGAATGCCTTACTTGCAGCATCAGATGCCAGTAATGCAATTTATTAGTATTGTACAATTGTATAAAAGAACAGTTGATTTTTGAAGATAGGGATGTACTACTAGTCTTCACTTGCACTTGCAGATTATCTTTTCAGAATCAGAGTCTCAACTTGGTTTTCTAGGGCTTGATGTTTAAATTCTGTTTCAATTTTCCATGTTTTTGTTAAGCCTTGATCTGTTATGCTTTGCAGAAATCATCTGGGTGATCCTAACTGTAGAAGAAAATGGCCTCCTGGCTGTTACTCAACAGATGTCTACCATGGGGGCTGACCTCACCACATCACCACCACTCCAGGCTGCTGAAAACCCCTTTGGGAGACCCCTACCCGGTAGCCAATCAAACGACCAGTCACAAACTCTGTTCGGCAGTCCCCACCAATCGGGAGCCTTGTCTCAAAGCCCCTTCAACAGCCCGGTCAAGATTGGCCAACCAGAGTCTCTACCACATCAACAACACTTCGGCAGCCCGGTTCAAAACCACCAATCGGAGGTGGTGTCACAGAATGCAGTAGTACCTAGCACCCAATCACAGCAACCGTCACATTTAGCGTTCGGCAGTCCGGCAGAGTTCCCAGTGGGCTCCACAGTTAGGCTAGGGGAAAGGACTGTGAATGGTTTTAGTCCGACGAATCAGGGGGCAGGGGAGAGCCACGAGCCGTTCGGGGTGCAGAACGGAGCGGCGCAGACGTTCTGTTCACCCGTCCCGAGTCAAACCACGGCGGGCGGGACGGTTCCTATATTTCAGGTAGGTCGGAGGTCATTATTGTCTAATATGCACAAGATCTGACTCATATGTAGCTAGGACAAGATTGATTCAAAATGTTTTTGTTCTTTTGTTCCTTTATTTCTGGTAAGTTGGGAGTCATCTTTGTCAAAATAAAACAAAGTCATGGCAATCATTGTCAATACTTGTTGGACATGCGACCAATTTGTATCTGTATCTGTATAGCCAGTATAACTGCCTTTTGGTGTAACACACCAGCTTCGCAGGCACGCGGCGCGGTAGCTGGCTACATTACACCGATCGACGTATTTTTCGTCTGCCAGCAATTTGATTCCAAGGGAGTGAAATGTGGTTTTGCAGGAGTGAAGTCTGCCATCTCTGATCGCCTTGTTTTAACGTGGTTTCTTTTTCTGTCTCTTCACAGATTCAACCGACAAATTCGGTCAGGCAACAACTCTTCCCAGCAAACATGGCGGCCGCGACGGGGCAGCCGCTGCCGCTGGGGCACGACAGTAGCGTACACAACGAAGAGGAAGATGAGGACCTCTAGCGATAGGTCACGTCCAGTTGCATATGCCGCGTATTGCGATCGATTATCGTTTGGGATAGCCTGAGTAACACAGTCTCTCACTGTCAGGGCCTGAATGGGCTAGCCTCCACAGCATGCAAAAACTGGGGGTTTGGGGGGTCTTCAGGGTCTTTGGGATCTTTTATGTGCCATTTTCTGATTGCATATAGACAACACAGCCGGCCTGGTTGAATTACCCCCGTTTTTTGACTGGGCTAATCAGAAAACAGCCGAAGACCACCAAACCACCAGTTCTATAAGCCTGCTACGGAGGCTATGAACAGGCCTCCTCCCTCCTGAGAGCTTGTGTGGCCATACACCTCTAACACTGGAGAACCATTCCCAGAACTACCAATAGCAGCTCAGGATTCTCTGTCACTTTGTTATACCAAGACAGCCATACATACCATACGTATACAACTCTATGCCAACTGTCAGTTGTCAGTCTAACAATATTGCACATATACCAGTATGCATAGGCCAGTAAGATTAAGATGTTCTAATTCTCCTGAGTTAGAGGTGTTGGCCAGCAAGCTTCCAGGGCCTGACCAGTAGAAGGGCTGTGAGAAACATGATTTTTATAGTCAGGCTAATTTTTGGAGCATCCATAAAGAAAAATTAGTGAGATCATATGTGGATGACTTAAGTATTCCTTTTAAACAGCAGAAAGATTTCAAAAAAATTTGAGGAAAAAAAACTGAAGTGCTGAAATGAAAAGAAACTTTTGGAACGTCCGTTAACGAGGGTTATTGTCAAATTTGTGTATTAGTAGTGAAGCATTAATGGTATGATCATGGTTTGGACAATTTTGGTCCAATGTTTATATTATTATTATTTACAATTTGTGACAAAAAGGAACAAAAAAAGTTTTTTTCTTTTTTTGAAAAGCTGACAAAAAAAATAGAAGAATTTTTGTGAAGCGAGCTCAGCTCTCACAATATGTGATACTGGGTATGATGCAACTGGACCTATAGGATGGCTGCGTGCATGCATGAGTTTTAAATTGTTAACTTAGAGTTCTGCATGATAGTGTGACTGAAGCTGCGAAAACTTATGTCAAATGTATTAATATTAGCACTAATCTTTTCACAGCAATGCTTACCACCCCTTCTTTTACAAGTAGACTCACCCAATGATGGTGATGGATGGATCATGCCATTAAGAAGAGGGGGTGTTGTAGGATATTTCTAACCTGGCAGACTTGTGTATGTAGGGAGATGCTGTACATCTTTGTTGTGGTTTAATTTTGTATGTTTCACGGTGACCTCTCAAACACAAAATCTTCACATCATGAACTTAACAGACTTTCTGCAAGTATGTCCACCCTTACCACGAAATGGCGTTCCCTTGAACTAAATTTTTTACAGTTTTCGGCTCCTTGAATTGACAGCTAGTGCAAATCAAGTGACTGCTTGAACATTATGCTATATTCGTAATGAATTAAGTAACATACATGGACGGTATTCTGAAACTTTCACAAAGTCCCTCCCTAGTATGCTATTCTCGAAAGGTAAAACCAATAAGATTGCCAAGCGAACACAACTCTCTTCCTATGTACTTCTTGGTTCTTGGTGTCCTGTTATTAGATTTTATACTTCATGTTCCATTGAATTCTGAATAACTGCTCTGGTGTATTTGCTGCACATATAAATGATGAACTCTTCCTTGACCATGTCACAACGCCAATTCAGAACACTAGGGAACCAACAAAACAACTAAGAAATACTTAAAATAAAGTATTAGAATGTTTGTAAATCAAAACGTCTTTGGCGAAATGAGAATTGAAAATGATTGGTTTACCAGTACCTCCAATTCTGCTATCAAGTAGTTGTAAGAATAAAACACAATGCAAGTCATACTAGTCCTGACAGCATGTGGCTATCTCCTATCTTAACCTTCTGCCATCTTGACATCAAATTTGTACTGGTTATGGGGTTCATGTGTCTATTTGAAACTCTGGAAATTTGAAAGTCCTGTCCAGCTTGATTTCACCATTCTAACCTCCCTCTACAATGTGTTCCTGTTTTTTCCATGTCTGTGTCTTCCTTCCCTTGCCCAACTACAGTGAGTCAATTTTCACTATTTCAGTGCAATATGTACTTCTAAATACATGTATCAGCAAGTCTCCTCTCATACATTGCTAACATAGCGTCCCTCTCAGTGCAAAATTCAGATGCCATATGCATAAGTCTTTGCTATCAACTAGGATTTAAAAAAAGCGACATGAAGAATTTTTTGTCCTTCGGCAAGTCAGAAATGTATGCTGTGATCAATGAGAAACTGGCTGTATATCATACTATATGGTGGAAAGCTTGGCTAGAATTACACATGCCATAATGTACACAGGTTGATAAGACTATACACTGTGGTAGTTCCTTAAAAAAATGCCTTCTTCAATAATGTATTGATAATTGTAATGTACACTGAAACAAACCAGGGCAGAACATCATAAGAACTATGAAGAATGAATCAAATTTTGGAAATCTTTTCAGCTTGATCAGTAACTGGGGGATTTTTGCTGCGAAATCTCAGACCCTGAAGTATTACTGTTCTTTCTTTTGTCCTATTCTTGTGCTTTTCTTGTAATATATTTAGTAGGTGTTAGTAGAAATGCTATGGGCTGTCAATGAATATGCCATGAATATATGACCCAAGACTACCACCTTTTCTTCTGCACTTTTCCATTTGGGGGAAAAAAGAAAAGAAAAATGCACCTTGTGTCACTATGAAGAATATCTTGTGCCTAAAATATTTACTTTTATCTTTCATATTAATTTCATATGTGTACATTCACTCATCTCTGTGTACTCTGTTGTAGTTGGTTTTAATCCTAGGTTATCTTCATCGTGTTTCTAACTGTGACCATGAATATGGCACTTGGCTGGTGTAGCTTCAGATAGATCGATTGCAAAGGAAGTTGAACCTGTAGAAGTTATTAATGTGTTGCACAGGGAGTAACTATTATAAAGTAAAGTAAAGGCTTGATGCAGCTGTGTATCTCTGTCCAGAAATAAAGAAAATATTTCATTCGTAACTGCTGTTTCCTTGGAGTTTTGTGATACTTGTGAACAAAGTGTGTAAAACAGTCCAAAACAGAATGGCCAACTCAATAACCAGGGTTTTTAAGACACATTCCTACTACTACAGCCATGGCGTGTTTTTTCGCTTTTTTACCGAGGTTTCTTTTTTGCAGTTTGGAATGTTTTTACGCCAACCCAGAGCGTTACAAAATTCCAGTGGAAAAAAGAAACCCTGATAAAAAAGGTCTAAAAATACACCCAAACCTCTGCTTGGAGAGTAGAAAACGGGTGATGGAATGGGAACAAGTAGTGTTAGCTTTTAAAAATGCTCTTTTTCCACCAAGAGAAGATTTTTCCCGAAAATAATGTTTACCGGTAGTCCCTGCAACCAACCAATTAACTACAGTAGTTTTAGGTAGGCAAATACAAGGGTCTGTCAATGTACGTAGAAAATTCTGTCGTTTTCCTAACCACTTTGCCACATGCGTGATATTTTCCTACTCCTCAAGCAGAGGCTTGGGTTTCGGCTTTTTTATCAGGCTTCCTTTTTGTAATGTCTTTTTTTGGCCAACCCAACTTTTGGGCGTAAAAAAACTGCAAGAAATTAAAGAAAGCCTGATTAAAAAACTACACGCCAAAACCCAAGCTTCTGCTTGGAGAGTAACATTTTCCCAGATCTTGAAAAGTGAAGTAAAAAGTTCTTGAACCGTCTTTTAGATGGCCCAAGGTCCCGCCGAGATTTGAACTCGGATCGCTGGATTCAAAGTCCAGAGTGCTAACCATTACACCACGGGACCGCCTGGACAACCGTGCTTCCCCAAGCAGATGTGTTGTCTTGTAAACGCGTTTGTCTTTCACAGGGCAACCGTAGTCTCTACCAGACTAACTATGCTGGCTATATATAGGAGAATATTTGCCGGGGGAGTTTGGCCGCCTTGGGGTTTGACTAGCCGCGGAAAGAAGGGAAAGAAACGACCTTCCGCGGACTGACTTGCCCGGCCAATTTTACTCTCCTTTTTGTCGGATAAATTTCTAGGACCGTATCCCCGTAGAAAGGCCTGGTGGAGGCTTGGGCAACCGGATGTCTTATTTAGATAAAACATTTCACCTGCTCGCTAAATTATCCCAGCACTTGTGTACATAAAAGAGGGCTACTCTAGTTTTTAGAGTTAAATTATGAAAAAGGTTGTATGGTGACAACTTACAAGCATGCACAAGCTAAGCCAGAATAATCTTCAAGCTGTAAGGATTCGGCTCAATATTTATAATGTTTTGCAACATTTAAGAGGAAGCTAATTCTTTAACAATAAAAAATGCAATATCAGAAAGAATCCAAGAGATTTGACTGATGAAGTAAATGTTGCAAAACAAAACGCGTAAATATTGAGAATAAGCCTTGTAAGAGTACCGCAGGCTTGTTTCAGCTGCGATTTTGAAACGCGATAAAATAAAACCACCGCAAAAGTTTCACGACTCACAGTTAATGTATATGACATTCGGGTCTTGTGCAAAATAAAATGACGGGATCGTGTGTTGAGATCCAGATCCCTCACAGATCCAGGTCCCGCCGAGATTTGAACTCGGATCGCTGGATTCAAAGTCCAGAGTGCTAACCATTACACCACGGGACCGGTGGGAGATCAGACACAGCTGACGGAATCATCATTATCACAATAATGAATTGTTCACAGACAATAGAGTCACTCCATAGCTATTGTTTGTGGCATGTGTACTTTGGACCAGACTTGGGAATCTATAACATAGGCATTCGAAATCTAGAAATAGATAAACGCAACAGATAGTTTCATATTTTGATGCGCTTAGACAAACCTTGTATTGCAAGGTCTACATTTGTACAAAGAAATTAACTACTAGTACTTGGCATAGGTAAAACGGGCATGAATGTACAACAAAAGTCTTGTTGTCTAACAACAACACAAATTTGTGTTGACATGATGCCAAGGCAGGGAGACATACTAGTACAGTACAAACATTATACTTTATTAGCCAGTTGTCTGACATTCAAGCCATTGGCTATGTACTAGTATTGTAAAAAGCCTCTGTAGTGTATGGTTGATCAATAAAACACGATTATGATAAATGTTAGTACACGGATTATGTTAAAGCATAAACATGTATGGTTTAAAGAGGGAGGGCGATTTGTGAAAGTTCCTCTTGTCAACATACTGGTAATAAGTTCCACTGTAGTACCTAGAGAAGTCACAAGGGGGTCCAAAATCAAATCATTTCCAGTTTTTGTCTCAACCGACAAACATGCCAAATATGAAGCCAATCCACCCAACCATTCTTGAGTTATCTTGGTGACTAACAGTAACATTAGTATGTATAGTTTAAGTGCCATTGCTGTATCCCTTTCCTTGTCTATTCATGACCTGTACTTAGCTTGTTAGAGCACAAAAGTACAATAAAGGTCTTTCAGTCATTCATTCAGTAACAGACTCACAGACAGACAGACACCGCCCACACAACATTTTCACGGAGGTAAAAAAAAAACAGTTTTGTTCCTGTACTCCAGACCGTATTGCGCCGCCTGCTACTTCACGCTTTACTACACTCATCAACAGCTTCTCTCTGGGTCGAAAAAAGAGCCACACGTTTGGCATAGGATAATCGGCTGTAAGTGTGTAACAGCTGGACTTAGGCGATATACTTATTGTCCCGGCCGGGATCGTTCAGTGTCGGCACTTTCTGACATCCTAAATGATATGTTTTCGTCCGCACACTTTATCAGAAGCAGCAGAAAATTCCTTGTGGTTATTGTAAAGTGTTTCTTTATTGACCTGAAGTTCACGATGTTATAACTACAACTGTAGCAACGGTTTAAGTCGGGAAGAGTGACTTAATTTGTGCAATGTTGTGACGTAGCGAAATGATCTCTATTATGGTATGATATCGACATTTCGGGACTGTGTTCTGTCCAGTCGGTGTTGACGGATCCGGGCGCTATTGACGGACACAGACGATTGTCCACGTCACTTATCAGTCACACGGCAATCCTGCACAGAATACTATAGTAGTACTGCTTATGGTGGCATGCTGACACTCTAAGGCTCCTCACACATACACGCGCATGGGATAACAAGCTAAGGCGAGACCTGCAGCCTACAACTGACGAGGAGAGGGACTAATCTCCAAGCAGATCCCTTTCGGTGGCAAAAACACGGTATAAAGTTGGCCAGGCAGTATCCATTAGCCAGAGAAGGTCGCCGACGTTGGTGGGGGTAGCGACAAAAAACGGCCATATATAAAAAGCTAACGATCATTCCCCCACAACCTCTGCTTGGAGAGTAGAGAGGGGCGTGTTTTCTTAAGATTCGTTTGAAGAAAGTGTGGATAAGATGGTGGTGCAAGTGAAGACGAAGGAAGAAGAAGTTGAGCTGCTGAGCCCTGCGTCCTCAGATGACTTCACGGTGGAAGGAGACCTGGGGAAGAAGGACAGACCGCCGTCACCGGGTAAGTGGTGCTTTAAAGACGTCCAGTGCAGTTTTTAGAGCTTGAAAACCCAATTTTTCTGAGCCAATTTCGTCAGTTACCTACATGCTAAGTTGAAACCACATGATCCGAATGTATTTTGACCCTCATGAAGCAAAAATTCCCAATGTCCTGACGGAAAATGCATATGGTTACTGGAAGGACCTTTTCCTGATTTTTAGGGAACCGCCATAAACTAATCTTGGGTCTTGTTTCTGCAGTTTTACATGCCTAAAATATGAAATACTGAATTCAAATGTGCTAAGCATAATCTAGAGTAAGACGTAGTTCGCCTTCTACTTTATCTAAATTACAAAATAAGCAGCTTCTTTGCTTGTCATTTATAGGCCCGTGAGTGTTGTTAAACAACAGATATAATGGAATGAATATTCAGGGTTTTCAGTCCCCCCCCCCCAAAAAAAAAATCCATATCCATCCATGAACAGGTGTTCCTCACATGTCAGCCACGCATCCGTAAACAGACATGAGGTCATCAGGGGGAAATGTGTTTAGGGCTTAGTAAACACGACAACTACAGAACAATATTACTTACATTTGGCAGACAATGCTACATAAAACAATAATCATACAGGGATAACGCACCGGCTTCATGTGGATAAGAGCAAATGTGCAATTAAGATCCTATTAAGGCTAGAACAGACTTACGTTCTCGTAAAAATGAGGGTGGGGTTGAAAACTTTACATTTACATGTAACAGGGCGATAACGCTATATGTTGTAATTCAGCACCAAGGACAGATACAGTGCGGAACCACTTGTACACCCAACAAAAGAAGGACCCAAGTACAATATGCTAAATGCTGTCAGGAGGGTACGATACGGTTACTTTTAGTTATAAAATCTTCGGTAAGGCATATAATTTCACAACAGACCCTATTAATTTTGAACGAAAATCAGGAAGACCCGTAAAGTAAAAGGTGGCAATCTTTTATTTGCTAATTCTTCTAATGTTCTCTGTAGAAGTCAACGAAGAAGTTCCGGAAGACGATGACGAAGACGGCTTAGAAACGTGACCTTGCTGGACGTCCAGCGCACGTCAGAGGTCGACTACCAGAAGCGGCAGGACGTCTGCGCATGCCTGAAGACTCGCTCATGCGCAGTGATGCTAGGCGTGCTGATTCTGCTGTCCATACTAGGTGCAGAACGTCTTAGTTTAGAAACAGCACTACGAAGGCCCACAGCGACACTGCGCTACAACTCTTCCACAGGGCTGTGTGGAAGAGTCGCGGAAGAGGTGTGGCGCAATGTCGTTGTGGGCCTTCGTACAGCACGACACCGCTTCTTGTGGAGCTACTGAACGGGTAACCTTGGCAGCTCTTCTGTATAATTTTTTTGGGAAGAAGCAATACAAAGACAAGGACAAAGTGGGACTGCACTCAAGTTATACACTTATTTCAACAGCCCCACTTGATACTTAACATTGAAACAGATACATGTACATTTTGTACATGTAACGTTACAGCCAATACTATTTGCACAAATATATCAATACGAATAACAGTAAAAACAGACGTGTACGCTGAGGAAAAACTCCCTCCCCATTCTGTATAAATTAAAGTGGTAATTTTGTAGATAACACATCTTATTGTCAAATATGCCCCGATTCGGTGATTATATCTGCAATGGCATATTTTATGTTGTGTTATTTTATTATCGAAATAAACCTGTTATTCCTTGCTGTTCACACCAGGCGTACAGTTCCGGCTGTACTTCCTGTTCTATGAGAACGTGGGGAAGCCGCGGCCGCACGTGGCGCTACAGACGGCGTGTTGGACGATTGTTGGGGTGGAGGAGGACGGGTTATACGTCTTTAAAGGTAAAGAAACGATTTCTCATTGTTTCTTGCCTGTTTTTGTACGGTTAACGGTATCCAAAGCCAGACAAGGATTCAAAAACGGTAACAGGTTACCAAGACTGACAACATTGTATGTATATAATAGGGTCACAATAATCGCAAATCAAAGTACATAGACTAGATCTAAATACTAAATCTGTCAGTTATGGATATTAGACATCCAGGTAAACAAGACTCATAGAAAGTCTAAACTTTGCCACTAGATGCAGCTCAAAACGTTTGGATTCGAAGAAATCTTCATTTCTTATCCAGTAGTAGAATCGTCTAGGAAGATCTAGATATACATGATAGCTCCTTTCTCAACATATTGAATATATTCTAAGGCAGTTTACCAGTTTAGCTTCAACTTAATACTTAACTTTATCCCACAATGAATGGCGAAGGTAATGACAAAATCAAGTATTTATGATAATCGATAATTATTGCAGGTATTCCATATGGAGAGCCGCCAGTGGGGCCGTTGAGATGGCAGCCAACCGTAACGAAGTACAAGCGCAACGAAACGTGTCGGAATGACACCAGGTACGCGGACAAATTCCAAGCGTCCTGTCCAACCATTCAGGACGGAAATATCGTCGGTAAGTCGGTCTGACATGTCACGTATTTCTCTCATTTCTTTTACTTGTTGTCCCTTTGTCATTTTGATTGTCTTCCTCACTTTAGGTAAGGCTCAGGCCATGATATTCAATAGATCTAGTAGAGACCATTCATTGTTCTGCTTTTCCTTTCTTTCTTCCTTCCTTCCTTCCTTCCTTCCTTCCTTCCTTCCTTCCTTCCTTCCTTTCTCCCTTCCCTCTTTCCTTGCCTCCTACCTTCCTTATTTCTTGGTTCCTTTATCAATGGAGATTGAATTTTAGATCTGATGTAAATGTTTTAACTTTAGCATTGAGCATAAGAATGATATCGATTTGAAGGAAACGTGTGAATAACTTCCTACCTAATTCATCCCAATTATTTGCCATCAATTATTTGCCATCAATTATTTGCCATCAATTATTTGCCATATCAATTATTTGCCATCTCAATCTGCTTTTTGTTACTTTATTATTTGTATTACTTTTCATTGTCACTATTTGCTACAATTATTGTTATTATCATTTCCTAACTGTGGTCAGGGAGTTGTAAAGGCATTCTTAGGCCTGTTTTCAATGGCCATTTTTCTATGTAATTATACGTAAATAAAGTTGGAATAAATAAATAAATCTCCCAGGTGACGAAGACTGCCTGTACTTGAACGTGTGGACGCCAGACTTCCGCCCCGCACACCGCCTGCCCGTCATCGTCTGGGTTCTGGAGCGGCCCTCCCTGCCGCAGCAGCTGCAGTACCGACTCGACACGCTAGGCGGGAATCATCACAAGTTGTTTTTCAGGGGAGCGCGAGGACATAAGAAGGTAAGTCTGAAGAATGTTTAGTTGCAAAACCATGATAAGGATGATTCTACAAGCGACTCGAAATCGTATAATATGGTACAATCTCTCACTCATCATTCACTCAATCACTCACTCACTCACTCACTCACTCACTCACTCACCCACTCACTCACTCACTCACTCACTCACTCACTCACTCACTCACTCACTCACTCACTCACTCACTCACTTTCATAGCTTAGTCAGTCGTTGGGGCAGCAATGATACCAGAAGGCTCCAATCTATCCTAAAATCTTAACTACATGTAGTTTCTATTTTTTTCCCGCGTTCCAGGTGTCGCACAGCCTGATGACGTCTAACGCCACGGCTGTTCACGTGACGTTCTCGTACCGGCAGAACGTGTTCGGCTTCCTGGCGCTCGGCATTCTGTCGGACGATTCGGCGGAATATTACTCGGGTAAGCTCGGGTTCAATAAGGAAAACCACAAGCGGGGGTTTTGTTAAAATCTCTATTGCTTTGTAAACACACAGTCATACACTAAGCACACACTCTTCTTCTTTTCTCATCCTCAACAGAATCGAAGCATGATGCTTTTTCAAGTAGCTGCAGCTTGCGCATTTAGGAGTGGCTAATACAAGACGGGGGGGTTGCCAGGCCTCCATCTGGGTGATTTGTAGTGAATCAGACAGTAGTATTTGGACCATCGCACAACGGGGCATGCCCCTTCTCTTTTTAGAAAAGTGTGGTGGGTTCTTTAACGTGCGTGGGGTGGTGTGTTTACTTAAACATTGTTGAAATTCAGACACATATTCTTGGTGTACTGTGTACTCATTCCGCTGTTCAAATGAAATAAATTGTGTCTACACGCTTAACCGTTACCACATTTATCTGTTGAAGAAATTTTCATCTTCTTTCTCCTTACAGCTAACTACGGCCTGTACGACCAGCTGGCGGCTCTCCGGTGGGTTCGGGAGAACATTGCGGACTTCGGAGGAGACCCAGGCCGCGTCACGCTGATAGGGGAGGGGCAGGGTGAGGGGGATTATGTGTTCTCTTTGCTTCGTTTTGTCACGTAGTTTCTACATTTTATATGTAACACACTCATTCATCCGCGTGCACGTGGTACGTAGAGCCGAATATTTCGCTATTCATACACAAATGCCTTCCCATGCAGATCGAAGTGGCTGGCGATTTACCTCAAATTCTCATTTACTCAGGCCCTGTCCTTGGTGCTGAACAGTAAAGTCAATAACAGTACCAACAAAATATATAGTACCTGGTCGCCGTTTCCAGACCTAATCCTAGACCTATATCTTGCTGCTCCTGTATTACTTTTTTTCAAGAATTTGAAGAAGTCTATGGAAAAATTTCTGAACCTTTTACAATCTACACGTACTTATACTTAAAATCTAGTGTATTGTTATCCTTTTTTTCAATTGCCATGTATTAACCTCTTGCTTTCTGCCAAGTTTCACTTGGCACGATCAATTATAAATATGTATTTATTGTCATTGTAATTCTACGATTTGTGTTGCACTTTAACCCCCCCCCCCAGCCGCTGCCCATGTGCTGTGCCTGCTGACGTCACCGCTGACGCGCGGGTTGTTCCACGCCGTCTGGTTGGCTGACGTCGAGCACAGGCTCTACAGACCCTTACTGCATTTCTCCGCGGAGAACGTGGGACTGCTGAACTCCACGGGCTGCCGGAACGCCTCGTGTCTCAGGCAGCTCACGGTCAGGCAGCTGCTGCAGGTAGGGTGTTTCTGTATCTCCTACTACGTATACGTTGTACATGATTTAACCAGCGTTGGGGTCTTGTTGTGTCCCAAACCGTGCCCGTCCCTATCTGCGTCTTAGCGGGCACAGACCTGGACACAGCCTTACCGTGTGCAGAACTGTGCCCGGAAGTGCATGGTTATTCTCTGGACATCCCCCGCGTGTCCCAGAACGTAGATTGGCCCTTGGCACGGTTCGGGACACAACAGGCCCTGTTTGCAGATTTGTCAACAGCAACAACTTGCGAGGGTGATCTTCAGCACCAAGGACAAGACCTACACTGATATGAAAGGAATACTAGTATCCAATGTTCACACATTCAATGTTCACGTGCACCTTCAATGTTTACTCCTTCAATGTTTACACCTTCTATCTATAATGATTCCTCTAACCACTCCCATGCATGTACCAGGCTGTGCCGCGCCGAGATCACCATTTCTGGTTTCCCCACGAGGATCTAAAATGTTCCCTCACCAAGACCAAACCTTATTTTGCCGAATTTCACTATCCACAGCCCCTGCTGGAGGCTACAAATGCCTAACAACTCCCTTTTTCAAATTCCCGCCATGTACCAGGCCGTGCCGCTTCGAGATCACCATTTCTGGTTCCCCGCTGAGGGTCTGAAGTGCTCCCTGACCAGGACCAAACCCGCGCAAATTCGAGCCCATTTTGAGAATGTCTAACCTTTATCTATAATGATTCACCTTCCTCTAACCCGTCCATGAATGTTCCAGGCCGTCCGAGACTGGCCACCCCTTCTGGACCCTCCCCCCCCCATAGATCTAAATTTATAACATTTCCCCTTTTGTCTAATTCCTGATCTGTACCAGGCCGTGCCGCGCCGAGACCACCCTTTCTGGTTCCCCGCCGAGGGTCTGAAGTGCTCCCTGACCAGGACCAAACCCGCGCAGCAGGTCCTGGACGGCCATCTTCTCCAAGCATCCCCCTGGGCAGACCTGCTGGACGAGAACGTCACCGACCGGAACCTGTCCGTCGCGCTGGGCATGACGGGAGGATGTGACGTCACCATGGACGTGGACATGAACGACACGATGCTGATCGAGCACTTGCGAAGTGAGGAAGTTTTAGAACTCATGTTATTACTTCTGTTTCGTTTGAATTTTCTGTTTTAGTTTGCTTTGGTTTCGTGGGCTTAGAATTATAGAATTTCTTTGTAGGACAAACCCAACTGTGGACTGGCTAGGAAAGCAACAGAACCCCAAAACACTCATTGTTGTAATTACATGGCAATTGTACATATTTTCTATTAGAGGTTTATTCTGAATATCATTTGCAAAATTTTTCTTCTGCCCATATAGACGTACGTCAACGCATCAAATAACGAAACGTTGACAATCTAGATTTTAAAAAAAAACAACTTTCATTGAAAGTTACGTTTGCAAGTTTTGGTTGGCAAAAGAAAACTTGTCTTTTCTTCTCAGTTGGTAACGTTTGTTTGTTTGTTTATTTATTTTTTCGTACCAGGTATCGTCGGCGAACACGGAGAGGCGGAGGAGGCCGTCACTCTGTACCGTCGCCATGACGACGCCAACAACACCAGCACGGGCGCCAACGACGTCTGCGTTTCCATGGCGACGGACCTGCGGTACGCCTGCCCCTTCACCGACCTGACTGAGTACCTGGAGGTCCACACGCGGCGGCCGCTGTTCAACAGGTACATCTCCCTAGCCAAGCAGTGCGAACCGGACAGTCTTTGGTCCAGCTTCTTCGACGAGGCGCCGCCCAACCCGAGGTCATTGACCTTGTACGAGCTGCTGGGCGCGTTCGCGCGAACCGGCAATTTTCCGGAAGGAGTTTTGGAAAGTGAGAACGCGACGGACCTCCTCATGAGTAAAGACGCAGTGGTGTCGCCTGGAGTGGACTACAAGGACCAGAAGTGTTCGTTTTGGAGGGAGAATCTGGAATGGGAAGAACGGGATATAGACTGATCCGGACATTTACATGTTTTTTTTTGGTTTAAGCTTGTCACATTTGAAAGTTTGGCGCCAGTTGCATTGTGTATATCAGTTTAGTTTTGAAGTATTGTTGTCTTACTGCTATGTACGATTGTCGAGCATAAAAAATCATTCATTCATTCATTTTTTGAAAACGGACGAATTGAGAAGAAATGTAAGGATCGGAGACTCCTATGAAGATGTTTGTGTTTTTTTTTATTGGCTCTGAAATTTTATAGTTGTTGCTTTGTTTCAAGTCAAATAGAGTCCAGGTCATAATCTCCATTGTTTGAACCATTAGGATTGGCATATTTACTACATTTGGTAACCAGTTATTTTTTAGTCCTTTCTGTGCGTGTAAAATGTGTTGCTAAGGCAACGTCAGTGGGCCAATAAAACAGCTCTCTAGGACACGAATGCGTATTGATTTCTACATCTTTGTGAGTAAAAAGGCAACGTGATTGCGATTTTGAATTATATTAATATCTATTTATAGTAAGTTTAGTAACCCATTTGTATTCATCCGTACGCTCGAGTCTTACACGGCCTGTCCTTCCTGCACAAAACTAGAACTGTGTTTTGCCTGAAGGTGGCCCATCAACTATGCGAAGCAAACAAAGCAAACAACAAACAAAGTCCAAGGTTACCTATGACGACATATTCCCTGATAACTTATGTCCACAACTACCGCATTGAGAACTTTACCGTCTGTCTGCGTTTCGCGCATGTAGAAGCAAACACACGTACAGACAGTACAACTACTACAAGATGTCTTTCCTCCGCGTGTTGGTGTTGGCCGCCGTCCTGCAGTGGTCTGTAGTGTCAGGGGAAGGCCGTACGGACCAGCTGGCCCTGTCACTGTGTAGGCTGTGGGAGGAGTGTGTCAGGGCAGGTCGGTTTAAGTTACAGTTTTATGCGAACTTTAAAAAGTTGTACCATATGGGAAATCATATGGAGACGCCACTATTCTGTATGACATGAAGCCAACTGATTTGGGGCCGATTACATAATCTTCACCAGACTGACAATTGAGAAATAGTAAATTTCGTCCAAATAGTGAAACTTAGAATAATTATGTCCAACTATTCATGTAGCTACGATATGTACGATAGTAGCTGTTGATAGTAGAAAATGGGCAGTAATTCGTGATTCTAGAAATGCCAGACTGCACCAGGATTTTGACGCTTGAGTCGAGGACAAAAGAAACAGCAACAAAGGACTTGAGCATATTTTATTGCATGTTTATACTAATTATAATTTTCATGTTATCTACAACTTTTAAAATAAATGAAGTGGCAATTATGATCTGTATTACAATAGTTGAAGTCGCAGAGCATGACGAAGTTAGAAGTTCGAGACTGCAATCAGTTTGCCGGGACGTCACGTCCACAGTGACCGACATGCTGAAGGAACGGGACGCAAAAAACTGCGGTAAGATTATGTTTACTTTCGATTACAGAAGTATTGTTTTGGGCGGCTGAGCTGTGGGTTTGTAAGGGTGTTTTACAAAGTAGGTTGACAGCACTTGGGTGAAGAAGAGTGACAGGCAGAATGACAGGAGGTCGACCAGGGAGCCTACAGGAATTGGAGGTCGACGTTGGGACCGGGAAATATAGGAAGCCAAGTATTGATGCTTTCCGCGGGCTAGATGGTGGTTTTCTTGTCTGTTTTGTCTGTTTTAGTTTTATCCACGCCATTTGATTATTTTTGCTTATTTTTAGAATCGCTGCTGGTTCCTGATAAAGACGAAGAAGCGGACGAAAATGGACGACCAGACCGTGAGAGGGACCAGCTACTGTCCTCTCCGCCCGACCTGGCATCTCTGGTGTCTGATGGGCGCACAAACTACCTTCGTGACTGTGCCGAGATCCACACAGCTGCAGCAATGTTTGGTACTGTCTCTAGCGGCGTACACGACATAAAGCCTGAAGGTCTGGCCAGCCCGATCTCTGTATACTGTGATCAGACCACAGATGGGGGAGGGTGGACGGTCATACAGAGGAGGTTTGACGGGTCTATCGACTTTAACAGAGCTTGGGGCGCCTTTAAGTTCGTGTTTGGGCCAGCCGATGGGGAGTATTGGTTGGGTTTGGAGAACATGCACAACTTAACCAGTCAGAACCCGTACGAGCTGTACATAGAGTTAGAAGATTGGTCAGATGTGGTCAAGTACGCCAGGTACGACTCATTCTCGGTGGGAAGTTACCCTTATCATCTGCATGTAAATGGGTTCAGTGGGACAGCTGGAGACGGGTTTTATGTGTCCGATCCATCAGATGCTGGTTATCTAAACGGCCGGGCGTTCAGCGCTAGACAGGTAGACAACGACTCCCGAAATGACATGTCCTGTGCCGCCGGTAGCGGGGCCCCGACGGGTGGGTGGTGGTACAAGGGCTGCTCTTGGTCAGCCCTGAATGGCCCGTACCTGCGCCCTTCTGATATTACTAGTGGGAGTGGATTCGGTATCTATTGGAACCCCTTTGGCGGCGGCTACCAACACTACTTGAAAAAGTCCAAAATGATGGTTCGTCCAATCGACTTCCAACCGTAAGTTGAAGAATCCCCTATTGCCCTCAAAAAAGAGTAGAAATGGCCGAATACGGTGAATAACCAGAAAAGTTAGCCGGCCATGCTGCCCAGACTGCCTTGGCCAATCGCGCAGTTCACCTAGCCAATATTTCAACCAATCTTGTAAACTTGCAATGAGCTCAATAAAATATTCTGGGAGTACAGATATTGCAGTCATTCTTCCTTCTTACCTTAGCTACCCCAGCAAACAAACACACACACTCTCGTAAAATCACTAGTTGCTCACAATGATGATCAATTGTCATAATAGCTCATACCAACCATTCCCTCATCACGCCAAGCTCGCCAGGACAACGACCTAGAGAAAAGGCGGTGTATGTTCGCAGTCTCCAAAGTCTCATATGACGACATACTCCCTGATAAGTTATGTCTACTGCTGCATGGGAACTTTGCCGTCTGTCCGTGTTTCATGCATGAAGCAAGCACACGTACAGACAGTACCACTGCTACAAGATGCCGCTCCTCCCCGTGTTGGTGTTGGCCGCCGTCCTGCAGTGGTACATAGTGCCAGGGGAAGGCCGTACGGACCAGCTGGCCCTGTCACTGTGCAGGTTGTGGGAGGAGTGTGTCAGAACAGGTCGGTTCTAGTTCAAATTCTAGGAATAGTCTGGGTACAAGTTGTACCATATGGACCAGGCGCTTTTCGTATGGCATGAAAACATCTGGTTTGGTGCTGATTGCGTAGTGTTAGCCTCCAGCCGGAGTAACAATACTGGCTGAGAAATAGTAAAATTTATGCAAATATTGAGAATAATTTGCCAATTGAATTTGTCCTCTGTAGGGTTTTATTTCACTATAGGGGAAATATTATACTTGTCCCTGGCCGATGTACTTTCCAGGGTCATATTACTAAGTATCCGTGAAGCTACGACATGTACAATGTAGGCAGCTATTGATAGTAGAAATAAGCAATAATTCGTGGATCTAGAAATACCAGACTGCCCCGGGATGTTAGCGTAAAGTCGAGAAGAGGAATACCAAGGTAAGACTTTAGCAAATTGTATTACATGTTCATACCAATCGTAATGATGATAGATATCAAGACTGCACATGCCAAGTGTCTTGACAGGTAAATACGCCCGAGACGTAAACAAAAGACAAGTATACGTCTTGGTCTGACTTGTTATACGTCATGACTTGTTTTGTTTATGTCTTAGAGGACCTTTACCTTTAATGTACAGCCACTATTGTGAATCGCCTTATTTTCATGTTATGTACCATGCTAGTATAGAAACGAAGAGGCAATTTTTATCTCTATATATGTATACAGTTGAAGTTGCGGAGCACGACGAAGATGCGAGTTCGAGACTGCAGCCGTTTTGCCGGGACGTCGCCGACATGTTGAAGGAACGGGACGCTAAAAACTGCGGTAAAGATTATGATGTGTTTGGCGGTGGCTGAACTGTAGGTTAGTGTATATTTGTTTTTCGGGACAAATCTACGCTAGGTTAATTTTTTTGACAGCACATGGGTGGGGAAGGTTGACGGGCAGAATGACAGGAGGTCGAAGGTCTCAAAATCTAACTTGGAGCCAACACGAATTAAATCAAGAAATGGCAGAATTCAAGAAGCCTCTTATACCACACTTGCCATAAGTTTAAATCTTTGATTTCTTTCTCTTTTGGCCGTGGAGCCGGTAGAAATTAGAGGTTGACATCAGGGGATTCAAGAAGACGTCGTGAGGATCGCATACCTCATAGAAGTCTGAAATGTCCACTTCCTTGTCTCTCTCTTTTTTGTCTAAGTTGTCCTTTATTTCCACTTCTTCGCAGAACCGCTTCTGTTTCCAGATAAAGACAAACAAGCGGACAATGAAGGACGACCAGACCCGAGGGGGCAGTCGCCTCCGTCCGACCTGGCATCTCTGGTGTCTGATGGGCGCACGAACTACCTTCATGACTGTGCCGAGATCCACACGGCTGCGGCAATGTTTGGTACTGTCTCTAGCGGCGTACACGACATAAAGCCTGACGGTCTGGCCAGCCCGATCTCTGTATACTGTGATCAGACCACAGATGGGGGAGGGTGGACGGTCATACAGAGGAGGTTTGACGGGTATATCGACTTTAACAGAGGTTATAACGCTTTTAAGTACGGGTTTGGGCCAGCCAACGGGGAGTATTGGCTGGGCTTGGAGAACATGTATTACTTGACTAACCAGAACCCGTACGAGCTGTACATAGAGCTAGAAGATTGGTCAGATGTGGTCAAGTACGCCAGGTATGACTCATTCTCGGTCGGGGGTGACCCTTATCATCTTCATGTGAGTGGGTTCAGTGGGACAGCGGGAGACGGGTTTTATGTGTCCGATCCATCAGATGCTGGTTATCTAAACGGCCAGGCGTTCAGCGCTAGACAGGTAGACAACGACTCCCGAGATGACATATCCTGTGCCGCCGGTAGCGGGGTCCCGACGGGTGGGTGGTGGTACAAGGGCTGTTCTTGGTCAGCCCTGAATGGCCCGTACCTGCGCCCTTCTGATATTACTAGTGGGAGTGGATTCGGTATCTATTGGAACCCTTTTGGGGGCTGGTACCGACACTACTTGAAAAAGTCCAAAATGATGGTTCGTCCAGTCGACTTCCAACCGTAAGTTGCCGAGTCCTTTTTGACTGATGAGAGTAGTAATTGGCCGAATACGGTGAATGACCTGCCAGAGAAGTTAGCTGGCAATGCCAATGAGTTGGTTAATTGCAATAGGCTAAAGTAGTAAGGGCTACTACTTTATCCAATTGCAATTAACCAACTCATTTGGCCAATTTCATGTTATTTCAGTCCCAAAGCTCAAAGGGGGACTTGAGCCTTCGCTGTTTTACTCCTAACGTTTAGTTTGGTGTATAAGACTCAAATAGGCTTAATAAAATATTCTGGGAGTCCACATATGATGATGATTCTTCCTTGCGTCACCCACTGCCTCAAAGACATCACACAAATCCTGGTCAGAACATCACGACTTATTCAGGGTAATAAAAAATAAACAAAGAATAAAGGGACTCTTTTTACATAACCAAGTGTTTTATTCAAGGACGACGTTTCGGTGACCGTCTGTCACCATCCTCAGGGCAATTCCCAAACGTACAATTGGGAATGCATTCATAGCAGCGACACCTATGCTGCAGTGCAATGTGAACCAGTCACAATTGCCCTGAGGAAGGTGGCAGACGGTCACTGAAACTTCGTCTGAATAAAAGACTTGGTTGTGTAAAAAAAAGTCTCTCTACTCAGTGTCTTACCAACCTGATGAAACTATTTACGGAAATAATAAACAAGGCTCCTGCCACTCACACAGGTACTGCATAACTTAGAGACACACAGGTTTACTAACAAACAAACCATAGTCAGTATAGGAATTGTGGTGACTTTTTATTTCCACAAATCTTGATTAAAAGTGGCAACATACATGAGGTGACAATCGTTATTGGCACGTGTTAAAATCGTGAGAGTGACGAACAGCCAGCATAACAACATCTTTCAAATTGCTACATTTTGAACTAAATTTCAATAAGCCAAGATGCTAGATTGCCCATTCTCCAAGCAGATGTTTTAAAGAAAAATTGTAACATATTCCAGGTGCCTGCATGCTTTATTTTTGTATTATATTTTGATTTGCATTTTGTTTTGATTTTGCATTATATTTTGGGTTGATTTGTAACCCGTGACCCCGCCCTCACCCTCGACCTTGTTGAAAAGCGGTCATATGTATGTACCGAACAAGCTTTCGAGTTTAAATAAAGGTTTACTACTACTACTACTACTGCTGCTAGAGGCATGGGGCAAATGCAAGTCTGACTACATCATGCACCTAGCAGCCCCTCCACTGAGCAGGCCCCTAGATAGAAAGGAGGCCAAATCTGCCCCTGGCAGCAAGAGATTGTGATACAGGTTAGGACAATTTGCAATTATCCCATAAAAATGATTTTTCATTCCAACATCTGCTTGGAGATACCAGCAACAGGACATATGTCAAAGAAACTATAGTGCTTGTTGTAGTTCAGGGCACATGGTGTCCATTTTGGCAAAATGTTCAAACAGATTATAGGTTAATGCACACACTTTCTATTTAGTTGGCTGAACACAATTTATATACATGCCTATTGTAGGGCGCCAAATACCTATGTGCAACATACAATTTGCAGCAAGAACTGACATTACAGTACAACAATCTAAAACATTCAATCTTGTAGTGTTAATAATTGCCAAGTGCAAAAGCTCAGTAAAATGTGACAAGTACAAGTAACTTGATTGGTGACATTCCAGTGTACCACATGCATGGGCTTTTGGTAGTTCACTGAATTCTACGTAGGTAAAAAAAAATTGTGTTTGTACTTGAAATACTGCTGGCAACAACACAAAACAAGCATGTCACACACTGTTAGACATATACTAGTATTGTCAAATTAACCCTTCTTCTGCTGAGATATCCCTTAGTGGCACCATTTTGTACTAGTTACAGGGTTATGCAGCAAGGAGAAGGTTAAGCTATGAGGATTGCCTGGAATTTCAAGGCCCTCAGACAGAACAGGTCTGTATAGGCTATCATGCAGGCATATCTACACATCTACTAAATATGCAAGTTGCACACTGTAATGTAATGATGCCATTGGCCTTACAGCTTGTTCTCCAAGCAGATGTTAGATGGAAAGAATGTAATCTTGTTTTGACTCTCTACAGCCAACATTTTCGCACTGAAAAAGAGGCAATCACAAAGTGTAACATTCCCCCCAATATCTGCTTGGAGATTATAGCTATAGGTGTGTTTTGTATCTATTTGAATTTGCTATTGGTACAACATGCATGATCTCATGATTACAACTTATTGATAGTAAGTATTTTGGTCAGTTTTGGTTAAAAACTTTTTGGACCTCCAAGTTAACTGGTTCCCAAACCATTAATTTTTAGGTTACTAGGATGATAAGATTTTCCGAGTACAAAATAAATGTAGTAAAATGTTGTAAGTATCTGATCATGTGATCTGTTGTAAGTATCCAAGGATACATGTACAAATATAATGTTTTACAAAAACACAGAGCTCACAAAGTACACATCCATAAAGAATGCAGATATCATAGAAAAGGTTTGTAAATACAGTTGTACTGGCCAAATAGGCTGGTATCAAAATTGTCTTTGCATAAAACTTTGTATGAGTTGGTAAGTTACATAAATGTAACCCAAGTGCTGTAGACACATGATTTTTCACACGTGACATCAGAAATGGTCAAACTCAAAGTCTATCTTCTGACCCATCCCACACTGTTTCACACCCATCCCAGTTGAGAGAAGGTTGGTGTCTGTTTCACAAAAATTGAAATCGTCAGTCTTATTCTAATCATACCAGCCAGATACCTTGGATAAGTTTAAGCCATGATTTTTTATCTACTAAGTAACTGAATCACAGTCAGTGGAAAGTCAACCACTGTGAGCAATGTTAGTGTTTGATCCCCATTTTTCAACCTATTTGCAAATCGTCACCTATTTGGAGGCATGGGATAAACATTGTACTAACCCTATTCCAACCATGCCCAATGTACAAACAATTGCACTGTGAGCTATTAAATCTCTTACAGGCCACCAAATGTGTGACAGGTTGCATACTTTCCAGTTAAACCTCCCCTTAGGCCACACCAATTTATTTCCTTGGTTAACGGATTCGCCGCTTCGTTTTTTTGCCAAAATGAAATAAAAATAAAAACAGAACAAAAATCCATACTCTCGGGTCCCGAATTGGGGGCCTCAAAATCCACCCGGTACGTTGTAATTTTTCAAAATTTGGGCATAGTTAAGAGCGTTAAAAATACATTGCTTTAAGGCAGAAACATTTTTCTGAGTGCAATTTGTTCGGAAAGCTAGGTTGCCTCTTCAAAAGTTCGTCAAATTCTTTTGATATAGAACTCGCCCCCCACCCCCTTTGCACATGTCACCATTCATGGGACAAAACTTCACTGACGACAAACGTACGGCAGATTTACAAAGTCATCGTACCTGTAACAACATACCATCTCCCTTTTGGATTTATATTATATTTAGGAACACGTATAATTGTGTCGGAAACATGTGCTAGTAACGGGCGTTAAAAGTAATCGGCCGAACGTAACTCGGCCTGGGCGGCACATGCACACCCACCTTCAAAACGATCTTTTTTCCAGGGAATATGTAAAAAATAACACGACATAACAATGTATTCTGGCATCACTAACTGTATTACTCTCAAAAAGTACAAAATCCTACCACAAACATGGGAATTTGGCAAAGTAAAAAGTCCTCCATGCACGTAAGTCCATTCACTAAAGCAACTCTAGAGCTTTCTCACGGTCGGAAGAGTCCACCTCGTGTAGGGGGAAACAGGCCCTTTTAATTATAGAAATTAACGTTACTCTGTGAAAAATACTACATGTGCATGTGGCATTCTAACAAAGTTACATTTTATTTAGATAACTATAAACAAGAGTACAATTGAAAATAATACATCATTACATCTTTAATTTTTTAATAAATCGGTTCCCCCTACAAATAAAAAATCCCCATACATCAAAGACTTAATAGTGAAACCCTAGACCATTGAATTTGTGGCAACTTGAAGAGTGTGTCAATGTTTAGTTTAGTGGCTAAATGTGGCTATTTGTTTGAATTATGGCTATTTATAATGTAGCTGTAGCATACATGTACCTAAAGTGTATAATGGGAAATATAAAATGGATACTACCGGTAGTATTTGGGAAAGATAAAAAAAGAAATAAAATATCTGTTAAAATAGTTAATTCTTTTGCCAATAACCTTTAAACATTCCTGGAAATTTGTCTAATTAGTTAAAATTAGTTAAAAGCAAATATTTAGGATATTGTAAATTTCAAGCTCTAAATAACTTCCATATCAGCCAGACACAACAGAATGCCCAGCACAGTGGTAAGCTGTGTGCCCTGAACTCTAAGAAAACAATGGGATCTGAACAGAGCACCCTGATTTAAACCACTCTTTGGAACTTTGAAAGATGAATAAAAGTGAAATCAGTTGGATCGGAGTCTTGTCAACTGACAGTTTGTTGTTCGTACAGTAAAGATGTGTATCTTGCAAAATTATACAAATAATTTTTAAGAGATGTAAGAGAAGTTGCTCATGTAGTAATGGTCCTTTCAGTTCAATAAGTGTCCAATATAATGTCTTATATCATTTTGTAACTTAACTTAATGGATTGCTTACTACATGGTTGTAGTCTCAAATTTTTATTTTTATTTTTTTTTCGCCCGCCCGCTCCATTTTTTTTCTAGAAAAATCCGTTAACCAAGAAATTAAATTGGTGTGGCCTTACAAGCTCTAATATTTTTACGACAAGAACAAGAATGGTACAAGTGAGAATCCTGAGATCTGCTAAGATACAGTATAGAAGTCTTGACTACAGATAAACATACAACTATGCTCTTGATGAAAGTTGAGCTGCCTTGGTCTTGTTTCTTACTCCGAGGTCCCAAGATGTCGGCATGTCTTGACTTACAGTTGAGTATCTTCACTGTTTGGTTTGCTGGGCCACTGTGTTTTCTTCTGTGTTAAACTGGTGGATAAAAACCAGTGGTTAGCCAAAAACATGTTACATGTGTACTTCCTTAGGGTGGAATAAACTAACCTCGCGCTTTATGCAATAGAATAGAATTTAAGTATAGATACAGTAGACACCAATTGCATCAAGGCCAATCACATTAGACGATCAGGGATCTGCATAGAATGCTGAAAACCCAAAACATTTCCCATTCACTCTATAATAGATGGACTGGTATAACTGCATTCATAATAAGCATATACTAGTAGCCTATCATAATGCCATAAATTGGACTTTGGCATTAAAAAAAAGAGAAAATGAATCTGTTCACATATACTGAACTTCTTACAATACATCATCCTTTTATAACTTGCCACGAATTTGTATCTGCTACAATTGTGGCACAATAAAGTCACAAAATAAATCTAAGTTGTTGCTGAAAACTAAACTCACGATGATTCCCCTCCAGTACAGCACTGCTGCAGCAACCAACAGGGCCAGCAGGACGGCGGCGATGGCCCAGAGCAGGCGCGCACGGCCCCGCACGGTCGGCTTCACCAGACCCACCAGCCTCCGTGTCTGGCTGACGCTCTTCTCAGCTGGGGGGGACAGACACGGTCAAACATTATACTAATTACTAATTACTACAGCGCTGACCCAGAGCAGGCGCGCACGGTCGGCTTCACCAGACCCACCAGCCTCCGTGTCTGGCTCACACTCTTCTCAGCTGCATGGGGGGGACAGAGACGGTCAAACATTATACTAATTACTACAGAGACGGTCAAACATTGTACTAATTACTAATTACTACAGCGCTGGCCCAGAGCAGGCGCGCACGGCCTCGCACAGTCGGCTTCACCAGACCCACCAACCTCCGTGTCTGACTCACAATCTTCTCAGCTGGGGGGGACAGAGACGGTCAAACATACTAATTACTACAGCGCTGGCCCAGAGCAGGCTGAGGGTGAGATGGGTTAGGTTACTTAGAAGGGGGCAGAATGGAGCAATCTCCAAGCTAGGGCTACAACAACTTTATTTGTTCAACCAGGTATCACACTCAGGCCACTCTGGCCTGTTTTTCAGGAAATCCTGGTACAAAAGCACAGACAAACACCTAACAGTTAAACAGATTACAATACATCCAAAAGTCTAAAAATAGCACATAGATAAAACTAATCTTAAATACAATTCTATAAAAACTGTTTAAAAGTTCTGAGACTGGGCTGCTGTCGTTGTTGTAGGGGGAGTGAGTTCCAGAGATAAGGTCCATAGTACTGTAAGCTGTTCCTGTATGAAGTGACTCTAGCTGGGGGACAGGAGAGTAGGTGGGGGTCATAGTCCCGTAGCCGTTTTAACTCTGACCGAGTAGTGCGTACACTCAGTGTAGGTGGAGCTTCCCATTTGAACAACGATGTCATGTACACAGGCGCACATCCACAGACTGCCTTAAAGACAGAGACAAGAGAAGCTACTTCTGCCCGTTTACGCACAGGGTCTGTCCCTGCCTCTGCTCGCAAGATGTTAACGGGGACATGGTCTCGGAGTTTGTGGCCTGTGATGAGCCTTGCAGCTCTGTTTACCAGTCTGTCCAGCTGTGATGTCAGAGTTTTGTTGCTCTGTACAAGACTTGGTAGCCACGCTGTAGCACAGTAATCCAGATGAGATAGTACTAGTGTCTGGTACATGGTCTGCAACACTTCCTTTGTAACAAAGGCTCTGGCACGTCTCATTGCACCGAGTCCGCTGAGAAGCTTCTTCGTGATCCTTTGCACGTGTGCTGACCACCTGAGTGAGGGGTCCAGAGTGATACCCAGGTAGGTGATCGAGTCAACCTGCTCATAAACGTTCGTGCCGTCGGTTATGTTGACGGATGTCCCGGCATGCCTCAGTTTCTGAGGGAGCCCAAAGAGCATCGCTTTGGTCTTGTCTGGGTGAAGCAGTAACTTGTTTACATTCAGCCATTTCACTACTCTCTTCATGTCCATAGAGACAGTCTCTTCACAGGCCTTCACGGAGTCGGCCGAGTAGTACAGGACTGTGTCATCAGCATACATGTGAATACTGCACTAGGCTGTGTAGGGTATGTGATACTATACGGAAAAAATTGATTACTAGTAGGTACAGGTCCAAAATACCTAATCCCTCAGTACTAGTACTGTACCTGTGTAAAGTTACACTAATATTATGCTTATTTGTGGCCTAAAAAAGGGTCCCAGAGACAGTGTGTTTGTGTTACAGACTGTGTTAACTACCCTGAAAGATCTGTTGTGTATTAGATATGCTCATTGTCCTTCTAAATGTCACTTTGGTCAGGTTTGAGTCACCTAAGACCATTTAACTGTTTAACATTTAACCCAGAACTGTCAAAAGAGATTGATATATGTGTCATGCATTGTTATTAAGGGGAGAACATACTTTCAGGTAAGTACAATTGTACAGTACTTCTAAAAAGTAAAAGATACAACTGACAAGTTTTGATCAAATTTTCCTCTACTAGTTACACACTTAATTAATGTTTTTTATTGTCCAAACAGTACCCAACAGGACACAACGTCCGGGCGCATGTTCAGACATGTACCGGGTACGACTCGGAATCGAACCCGGGTCTCCCCGGTTCATAGTCGATTGCTCTAACCACTACACCACCCGACGCCACGATAAAATGATAATGAATGAATGAATGAAAATAATTACATATCTGTGCTATTTGAAAGGGACAGCAGTGAACAGGTAGTGAGTTAATGACATTTGACTGGAGGCATGCACAGTCCTTGGACACGAACAATGGTTTCACCGCTTCCGTGTCTTAATTACAGGTGTGTGCGAGCAAAGTGCCTAATCACCTGAATAATGCATATCCTTTCCCTCAGGCACTCACACCTGGTTTTCTTTCATGGTATTCAATTACAGACACCAGACCTACAACTGTACATTTTTCTAGTAGTACATTACACCAAATGTTTTCAAATTCATCTAAAGGAGGTGCTACAAAAGTCAATGTGGGGCCAAACCAAGAGGCACTAATCTGGTAAAAAGTAATAAATGTCTCTAACATTCCAGAACTTACTACCTGGCTGAGTATTCTATATGATGTTTTATGTCATACCTGGGCCGCGATTGTGTTCGATACGGGTGTTCCAGCCCTATATTATATATATATTTATTCTGTTCTGTTCTACTCTTTAATTTTTTTATACTCTTAAAAGTTACATAGCTTGCCATATTGGCCGTTAACTTTGACTAAATCATTCAAAAAGCTTGTTTGTTTTGCTGATAGTCTATATAACTTATAAGTTATAACCAATGGGATTTAGGTGGAAAAAATAACCTCCTTGTCCTATGAAATCTGACATGTTGGACATGCTTTGCAACTAAATATCACGCAATTTAGGTTGCCATATTTTTGCCTACTGCAATGTGATTTGGATGTTGACTGTCCTAGAATTGTACCCTCTACCAAGGAGGTTCGAGGTTAAAAATCAAATGCCTAAATGCCTCTGCTAGCCTGGCTATTAAATCTGGGGCATGACCCCATCAGGTCCCTTGGGGTCGTTGTTGATTTTTAAATAGTGTGTCATAAAAATACGTCAGGCAGCTGGTGACAAGGGTTAGCGGAACATATCAAGTTGTTGTCAAATATTTTCACAGAAATTCCTTACGCCGAGTATGGACATAAATGCCACGCCCATTTAAGTAAACCATCCATCCATAGCGCTAGTGTTAGGATGTGTACTCAAAACAAGTAAGGAACAACAAAGAAACTACATTACCTAAAGCAACGAAAGCTACCGAACCTACTTTTACTTGCCTCGACTATGGCAATTATTAGATACAAAATGTGCTACATATACCCGAGATATTTTCAAATGCCGACAAATATTTTAGGGAATCTTGGTCCCCGTCCTTTGTTTGTATACTGTCGCCCGTTCCTATTTCTAATTCAATAATGGAATTTGAGGCGAAACTATACATTCGTGTCTTCCCAAAGTCTCTTTATAGTAAGAATAGATAGATGTTAGTATAAGAAGGGACTTGATAGTGGAAAATGAGCAATATTTTAAACGTTATATGGAGTTACCGGTGTACAAGGAAGCCCTGTTCCGAAGGGTCGACTGTGCCTCTTCCGCGATCCTGCTCAAATCCTCCTCGGTCAGATCGTAGTTTTTGTGGGGGGTGGAGTAGACCTGAGGCAGTGCACCCCTCGGGGTGGCCCCCAGGGGGCTGGCGGGAAGTTCCCCGGGGGTCAGGCGACGTGTGACCGGCGTGGAAGGCGCCTGGACCACGGTAGTCGTGACGGTCTGCACGGTTTTGCGCGAACTTTTCCTAGCTGGCGCCATTTTGGAAATGGAGTGGATGTCGGGAAGGCGGGGGCGCCAAAGGGGTGTTTGGGGATAACGTTCGCTCGCCAGTCTGTCGAGGGTCAAATAGGGGTTTTCAGGTACCTGTATGTTCAAAGTAATAAAATCGCAAAACTTGGTAGTGGCCTGCCCGAATGCTCTGTCGAGTATCCGAGTCGACTTTTTCCGACCACAAAAGCCTGGTAGCCTGCTTACCAAACCTATTATAGCACCCGAGTCCTACATCCTCTCCGCAAATACAGGATGTAGGACTCGGGAGCTATAATAGGTTTGGTAACCAGGCTAGTTGATTTGCACATTACACTTTATCTGCTTTCCCATGCATTTATACTAACGTTATAAACCTTTCAAGCACATGAACATGATTTGTGCTGTAGATTTCGCATGCAATGAATTTTGTACGGATAAATGAACATGAACGGTATGCCTAAATACCTCAACCGACCTCAACCGGCCTCAACCGACCGCGTAATGGGTTAATATGCAGTATACATGGGCTAACAACCTTTTCCAACGCTCTGGATACATTGTCTATGCTTGTATGAATGGAAAAAACACTGTAACTCTGACGATTTTACCAGTTTTTAAAAGTTATTCATCGTTGGGCCATCGTTGGGCCTGCATGGGGAATCTCTGGACACTTTTTGCTTTATACAGGCAGCAGAACGCAAATATGTTGGTTTATAAATCATCATGATTAAAGCACAAATACTATCATAACCAACTCATAATAGCTATATCATATGATAGGTAAGTAATTCCTATATTAAGTAGGCAGTCAGTTAGATGGAAAGAAAAGCCTCAGGCGATACTAATTGTGCTAATAAATGTGAAGGTAAAGATTATGCATTTTTGCTTTGCTTTGCTTTGCTTTGCTTTGTACATGTACTTCTCATACTTTTAAAGCCCTTTACGCTCTAATAGTTGATAATCACCGACCCGAAACAGGCCTTTATGCAACTTTTGAATTTCTCAGAGTGACGGAAGTGGTACGACTGGTGTGATCACAGGTTACTATTAATAAAACACAGGTCTGTACCGAACAAGGACCGGTGAGACTCCGCTCCATTTGTTCAGATACGAGACTCAAACTAAGGATTTCGTCCCCTTTTTCTACATCGGTAGGTCATCTTTATTATATACTTTTAAAGGCAAGGTCCGAGACGCCAGGCCTTTAATGCATGTGGATATCTGGCAGCTTAGGTCTTCAGCAGACAGAAGAAGGGCGCGGCAACTACTAGTAACTGATGACGTGGCTTTAACACGCCACGTTACATAGACATGTGGTAGGCGTGTGGGCACCTGTGACACTAAACGTTGCCGTCATCAAAGTGGCATATCATCCATGTGACGACTTTTCTCGACCAACATACCTCTACAGACGAGTAATCGCAAACCGTATGTACAACTCTGTCATTTTGTTAACAGACTACAAAATTTGCTGTACAAAGTAGCCCGAGGCATTTAAGGCTAGTACTGTTTCTCAAAGCGCTTTGTTTGTTGTCGTTATTCCGAATATGCTTAGTGAAAAGTTAGGATGATGCTAGTACTCCCATGCTAGCTATATTTATGTTAACCGAAGGAAAACATATTGTTTTTACTCAGTTTCTTCCCCCTCTTCTGTTCCAAATACTATGACCTGGCCAATGATGGCATGATTTGTTGACGTCTGTCACTATGGTGACTGCTGTTGGGTTACATCATGTTGCAATTTCATGGTCTGCTTTGCTCCTGTCACCATATACTCGTAGTACATGTATGTGAATATGTCTGAGTAAAAATTAACAGGGCAGACCATGTCCGAAGGTAAACATTATGCATTTGCTTTGCAAATGTTACTTCTCTAGTTCATTCTTTCCTTCTTTTCCAGGGTTGATCGCAACAGAGACCAGCGAATGAAAGAACATGGAAAGTAACAACACAAAAAGCACCAGATCGTGGGTAGGTGTGTTGTTCCTGCTACTGTCCGCCACCTTTGACAGCCTGTCCAATGAGTTTGTCACCCTCGCCAGCAACGAGGGAATACCGGGGCTTCAGATGTTGTTTCTCAACAGACTGTCACTCCTGATTCTGGTGATCATCGCTTGGCCGGTCTTCCGACCGAAACTGTCGGCACTAAGCTGCAAACAGCTCGCGGTATTCATTCTCATCACAGCTGCGCATAATCTGGAGCTAGGACTTGTATTCCTTTCCCTCACCTACACGGTCCCTGGGATAACCCACACCATACGCCAGGGAACTGAGACGATTCTTACGGTCATCATCAGCTTTTTTCTTCTCGGAGAAGTTCTCGGACTGTTGGACTTCTTCGGGATCTTCCTGAACTTCGTCGGCGTCGTCGCCATCGGATTCAATCTCATGTTCGGGACTGGAAAACGGATCAGCGTGAACGTTTTGACGTTCGCTCTTCCGCTGTTGGCGGCCGCCGTAGGGTCACCCTTAAACGTGTTCGACAAGTTTCTCCTTGACCGCCAAGATGTTCACATTCTGATCCTTTTACTCGGTATCTCGTCGACGGGAACTCTTTACCTGTCCGCGCTGGCGCACACTTTAGAAACACCCGTGTGGAAAATGTCGTGGCAAACTGCAGCTTATCTCGTAGGCCTGAATGTCTCGTACGTGTTTTCGTTAGTGTTGTGGTACTGCGGCATGTACTTAGAAAATGTAGGCGTGGCCACTGCTATCAGAGTGATGACCGTGCCCATCACCATTGTTCTTGACTACTTCGTCCTATCTAAGACTCCCGGTGCACTGAAACTTGCGGGCGGAGCTCTGGTTTTTGCAGGCTCGATGACAGTAAGTGTGGTCACCGTTTGGAGAAACTGGAAAGCTGAAAAGAGGGACAGACTTTTGCAAGAACTCAACTTTGACGTCCCCACAAAAGACAGATAAATGTCTAAGTTACATCTAACTGTAAACACTACTAGTGTGTTGATGTGAATGGTACGGATGTAAGAGTTTTAGTCATCACTACGTACGACTTAGGTAGTTTCAAGTTTATGTTTACGTGAATTTATAATAAAATGCCACCAACATCACACTGCCACATACGTGAGAGGTCAGATGGGCTAGGGTTAGCGTTAGGGTTGGTATTAGAGTAAGGCTGGGGTTAGAGTTGGGATGATTGTTCAGGACTAGGGTAAGACTTCCGATTAGGGTTAGGTTAGGTTTAGTCTCCTGACATCACGGACAAAACCCCTCCCACCTCTTGCATGTCTCAGGTACATTGGAAACGTGAGAGGTCAGGTGTTTAGGGCTAAGGTTAGGGTTAGGGTTGGTATTAGAGTTAGGGTTAGGGTTAGAGTTGGGATCATTGATCAGGCCCAGGGTTAGACTTACGATTATGGTAAACCCCTCCCATTGTCTCAGGTATATTGGAAACCCCCTTGAAGTAGTGTCAGAGTCATATTTGGCAGGATCATGTATTTGGCTTGACACCGTGCCCAGGCGGCGACATCCATGCAATCAAATCGCTACAAAAGCGACACCATATTGTAAATAACTGACATATTTCCTGAACTAGAGGTCGGAGATCTCATGTCTTCGTCAGAGGTACATTGTTCTAGAGAAATGAACATGTGTATTCTTTACTTTTTAATAACCAATGTGGTCTAGAGTAAAAGAATCTCTGTACTCCTTTTTTATGCTACGGAAACTCTGAAAGGGTTTGCCACTGATTTTACAGACGCACTTTCGCCGTTTTAGGCCCCCCTAAGTTATTTAAGTTTGGACTGATACTGAAAAAAAAAACTGTTACAAGAAATTCTGCTTACTGTTTGTTTGTTTGTTTTTGTTTGTTTCGCATAACCGGTAAACCGCCTTCAGGCGTAACACACCAGTTTTGTACATGTGCGCACATGTACAAGCTGCGTTAGACCGGACTGTAAGGTTTTTGAACCACTCACACCGGGAAGATCCCCTACTCTTTTCGATAAGTGCGGTGGGTTCTTTAACGTGCATGGGGTGTGGATCTCCCAAACACGGGACCTCCATTTAACGTCCTATCCGAGGGACGTCCCTAACCGAAGCTAGGTACTCATTTTCACCTGAGTGAAGTGAGGAAAGTCGTGTAAAGTGCCTTTCCCAAAGGCACAAGATCGGTGACATGGGCAGGGTTCCAACCCACAACCTCTGGGGTGTGAGCCGAACGCGCTACCGACTGCGCCACACGACCCCACATTCATACTGTATTATGAATATGAGGAAATTGTCACGAAAGTGTCGCAAAATTAATCAACAGAAGATGTGATGAAAGGAAAGAATCAAAACAGGGCGACTACTGCTGTTTTGTTGAATTTTTATGACGAATAGAAGACTTGTTACTTGTTACACTTTGTTTTTTTTATTCAATTTGTGTCCTAACATTTGGATTTCTACAGTTAGTATATTCCAAATCTAGGCATCTTTTTTTTCGGCCCTTCATGTTTTTATCGCGCTTTCACATTGAATCTAAGGTCTCCAGTGGACGTCATCCATAGCAATTACTTGGTGTGGCCTTAGAAAATAACCTGACACATGTCCAACCTATCCTCCTCCTGCTGAAGTTATAATGAACAATCCCTCAAACAATCTCTGGACACTTTTTGCTTTATACAGGCAACAGAACACAAAGATGCTGGTTTATAAATCGCACAAATACTATCATAAGGCCACACCAATTTAATTTGTTGGTTCTCGGATTCGCCTCTTCGTTTTTTTCTGATTTGCAAAAAAAAAAAAATTAGATTCTGGTCCTGAATCAACTGAAAAATGCTCATGTTTTGCCCCCCCCCCCAAACAGTTGAGGAAATTCCTTTTCTTCCTATAGCTAGTTGTTACAGTTTTCCCATCTATCATTGCAGTGGTTTGATTAAAAGTTCAAAATTCAATGTTTAAATTTTAACCCAGCCTTTTGTGTTGACTTCATGGCTCATTTTGTAGCATTTAAGCCTATAATAGGATGCCTAGACCTGTTTTTTTTTTTTCGCCCTGTCGCTTCATATTTTTTCTGAAAAAATCCGAGAACCAACAAATTAAATTGGTGTGGCCTAACCAACTCATAATAGCTATATACCGAGTGTTTACCAGCGCTAGCCTGATATCCAAGCTGCTAAGCACGTACGCCTACCGGCTTGACCTCCATTGACCTCAAGGAGGAACGCTCCGCGGAACCAACCAACGAACTTCGGGGGGTGGCTGGACAGATCATTTTTTTTCAATAGTTGGATGTCGACCCCTTCATGCTTTTAAATTTCATTCATACAAGCATAGACAATGTATCCAGAGCGTTGGAAAAGGTTGTTAGCCCATGTATACTGCATATTAACCCATTACGCGGTCGGTTGAGGTCGGTTGAGGTCGGTTGAGGTATTTAGGCAGACCCAAAATGAAAACAGATGATAGGTAAGTAATTCCTATATTAAGTAGGCAGTCAGTTAGATGGAAAGAAAAGCTTCAGGTGATACTACTAGTAATTGAGCTAATGAATGTGAAGGTGAAAATTATGCATTTTTGCTTTGCTTTGCTTTCTACTTCTCATACTTTTACCACTCTTTACGCTGTAATAATCACCCACCCGAAACAGGCCTTTAGGCAACCTACTAACCTACTGAATACCTATGAAAGTTTTACGACTGGTAAAAAGTGTGTCATCACAGGTTACTACTAAACACATGTCTGCACCGCCTCGCGCAGGGACCATTGAAACTCCGCTCCATTTGTTCAGATACGAGACTCAAACTAAGGATTTCACCCATTTTTTTTCCACATCGGTAGGTCATCTTTTTTTTCTCCTTTTAAAGGCAAGGTCCTTTTACTTGATCGAGACGCCAGGCTAGGCATTCAGTGCATGTGGATATCTGGCAGCTTTGGTCTTCAGCAGACAGAAGAAGGGCGCGGCAAATAACTGGTAGGAGTGTGGTGGACACCTGTGGCATTAAACGTTGGCGTCATCAACGTGGCATATCATCCATGTGACGACTTTTCTAGACCGAGATACCTCTACGGACGAGAAATCGCGTACGATATGTACAACGGAGCACAACTCTGGCATTTTGTTAACAGACTACTAAATTTGCTGTACCCCGAGGCATGTCTGCTCAAAGCAGTGAAAGTGAAAAGTTCATGATGCTAACGTACTCCCATGCTAGCTATATTTCATTCTTTCCTTCTTTTCCAGTGTTGATCGCAGCAGAGACCGGCGAATGAAAGAACATGGAAAGTAACAACACAAAAAGCACCAGATCGTGGGTAGGTGTGTTGTTCCTGCTACTGTCCGCCACCTTTGACAGCCTGTCCAATGAGTTTGTCACCCTCGCGAGCAACGAGGGAATACCGGGGCTTCAGATGCTGTTCCTCAACAGACTGTCACTCCTGATTCTGGTGATCATCGCTTGGCCGGTCTTTCGACCGAAACTGTCGGCACTAAGCTGCAAACAGATCGCGGTATTAATTCTCATCACTGCTGCGCATAACCTGGAGATCGGACTTGTATTCCTTTCACTCACATACACGGTCCCTGGGATAGCCCAGACCATACGCCGGGGAACTGAGACGATTCTTACGGCCATCATCAGCTTTTTTCTTCTCGGAGAAGTTCTCGGACTGTTGGACTTCTTCGGGATATTCCTGAACTTCGTCGGCGTCGTTGCCATTGGATACAATCTCATGTTCGTGACTGGAAAACGGATCAGCGTGAACGTTTTGACGTTCGCTCTCCCGCTTTTGGCGGCCGCCGTAGGGTCACCCTTGAACGTGTTCGACAAGTATCTCCTTGACGGGCAAAATGTTCACCTCCTGGTCCTTTTACTTGGTATCTCGTCGACGGGAACTCTTTACCTACCCGCACTGTCGTACGCTTTAGAAACACCCCTGTGGAAGATGTCGTGGCAAACTGCGGCTTACCTCGTAGGCATGAATGTCTCGTACGTGTTTTCGTTTGTGTTGTGGTTCTGCGGCATGTACTTAGAAAATGTAGGCGTGGCCACTGCTATCTTAGTGATGACCGTGCCCATCACCATTGTTCTCGACTACTTCGTCCTATCTAAGACTGCCGGTGCACTGAAGCTTGCGGGCGGAGCTCTGGTTTTTGCAGGTTCGATGACTGTAAGTGTGGTCACCGTTTGGAGAAACTGGAAAACCGAAAAGAGGACCAGACTTATGCAAGAACTCAATTTTGACGTCCCCACAAAAGACAGATAAATGTCTAAGTTACATCTAACTGTAAACACTACTAGTGTGTTGATGTGAATGGTACGGATGTAAGATTTTTAGTCATCACTACGTACTATCTAATTAGTTTCAAGTTTATGTTTTACGTGAATTTATAATATAATCCCACCAACATCATGTTGCCACATACGTGAGAGGTCAGGTGGGCTAGGGTTAGCGTTAGGGTTGGTATTATAAGGCTGGGGTTAGAGTTGGGATGATTGTTCAGGACTAGGGTAAGACTTCCGATTAGGGTTAGGTTAGGTTTAGTCTCCTGACATTACGACAAAACCCCTCCCACCCCTTGTCTCAGGTATATTGGAAACGTGAGAGGTCAGGTGTTTAGAGCTAATGTTAGGGTTGGTATTAGAGTTAGGGTTAGAGTTAGAGTTGGGATCATTGTCCAGGCCCAGGGTTAGACTTACGATTATGGTAAATTGTCTCAGGTATATTGGAAACCCCCAAGTATAGTGTCGGAGTCATATCTGGCAGGATCGTGTATATGGCTTGACACCGTGCCCAGAGGGTGACATTCCATACAATCAAACCGCTATAAAAGCGACACCATAACTGACATACTTCCTGAATTACAGAATGTGATAATACTAGTACTCCCCTTTAGAAAACACAATAGATTAGCTTTAGTGTCATTGTGGACTAGCTCTGTTAGGATTATATTTTAGTATTATAGTTCATGTATCTACCCCTGTTATTTCTTCTTTGCCAATACATTAAACCATTTACAGTTGTTGAGCAATAAAGTTGATTATGAGCCTTATGAGACGTTATAAGTGTGTGATACCAACATGCCAATCGTCAGTGAAGGTTAGACATCCAGGTAATAAGATACGCCAAAGAAAGGCTACCTAAGTAACTGGATATGATTTTAAAAACGGTCAGACGTTTCAAGTAGCATCCACTAACTTTCGTCAGACTCGCCTAAGTTTTGTTTCCTTTTGGACTTCAATCAATAGCTATAGTTCGTGCTTACAAA